ATCTGACGGTGTTGTTAGCCTCTCATTTCCATGATGACTATAATTTGATCATATTTCATTTTAATTACATAATTCCTAAGTTTATCCACTTACTGATTTCAACCTTATGGTTATCATATACCTGTGTATTACGTAATCCATCATTATCATTTGTCCTTTGGGTTTCTAGTAAAACATATAGCTTCAACATCATGTCGCCATTTCACTCTCTTCTCTACAGTCCCTCCAACCTAACTCCACCACTGCCGAGAACCCTACATTTCTCCTTCACACAATCTCATCCATGTCACCCTCGCCTCGGATGCCCAACTAGTCCTTTCCCATTTCGCTTCCATTCAACGACCTGGTCTGGCCTGACGCGTCATGTCCCCAGACCATCTTCTCAGTCTACATCCAATACAATCCATCTCAGCTTTCCTCTACTGTATATTTGTTGGGTGATACGTTCTTGCTCCGTTGGTTGGTTCCTTAACAGCCAACCACAGTTCCTCCTTACTTATTCTCATTATTCTCGCCATCTCATCTCCATCTTCACTATCGAGTGAGTGAGCGTAGGCGGCAGCTGCACATGTGACTCATACCTGCAGTTTGCTGGAAATGCGTTTCGTAACGCACCAACTCTCTCAACTATCACATAGAGGGATTGACTTACTTGACAGACATTCATGTTGATAATCCAGATATTGTTCACACATTATGCTGAGTGAAGTGGAGTGAAGTGCAGTAGATCTCAACACTGATTATTTCAGATTGATGAAGAAAGGCCAGTCTTGCTGTTTTTCCGATCCTGGCTGGCTTTGACATCTTCATGTGTGCCGCCTGCAATTGCCTGTAGCTGAGTAGATGCTGCCTAAGTCTAGGTACGTGAAATAGACCACTTTAAATTTCTCCAACAGATGATGACTAGGGCTTGTTGCTAAACAACACGAAAATTATCCATCATTTTATGCTTTCCCATTCATTCGATTTGAATGTTTATGGGGGTTTATTGGTTTCATGTTAATATTCATCACGAACTGTCATCAGTTGAAGAAACGTTGAAAATCTGAGAGCAGTGTACAGTTTCTTCATCCCAGTATGCAATTCTTCAGCAATGTGTATGTATGACTTCCCCAACGACGGTACCCAGGACTTTCAAGTTTCATAGTGACCCCGTTGCCATTTATTCATTGGGTCGGAATTATGGGTGCGCACTGCTGTGGAGTTACATACTAAGGCAAAACAGCTGTTTTGAATGGTTGCCTAATTTCACATCACCTTATGGCAAATAGTACAATAGATTAAGAAGTATATGATTATGTAATCATATTGCTTGAATAACCACTGTAATATCTGAAAATGATTTATCCCGTCACTATCATCATCCATTAACATAAGACCAGGAATTACTACGTAACACCCCAGGTTGCCACAGATCATATCACTACATCAAGTAGAAAGGCAGTGAACTGGAAGATGAAGATAAGAAAATTCAGACAAAAGAAATATAAAGTACGAAAAGAGAGAAAGGAAGAATGAGAAAATGGTGAGATTCGGTATAGTGTTGAGATGAGGATGATGTGTGTGAGGATACATCTGCGCCACTGACATCAGTTCTGAGCCATATCACCTAGAGTCAGTCTCCAACCACTGGCTCCTCTTGTCCCATGGACCCCAACCACCTAGTCCGCATCGCCCCACATGGCTCAAATGAACAGTCAGAGACTTCATACATTGATGCAATGTTTTAGTCAGGCCGCCTCTTTTCCACCTTTTTCCAGCGTAAACCTACTTCAACCAGCATTGTGTGACGAGGCAATCGGCGAATAAACATACACGTAACACATGTCCCAGCCAACCATCTCAGTCAATGAAGGTTTACAGCCTTGCCAACTGACTTACCTCTTCTGCCTGAAACTCTACTCCTTACTTCTGAGTTACTCACGTGGTGACACCACGGAATACGGCCTATACTACGAAGTCGATAGTGGTCGTCAAACACCTGAAGCGAGTCCTCTCATGTCTTCCACGTTCAATAGCCATATTTCACAGTCCTAGAGTAGAAAAAAGTTGACTGCAGGGCACAAACCAGTGCATCATCATCAATATCAACATAGAACTAGGCATTACTGCGTAACAGTCCGAGTTGCCACAGCTCAACATCAATACATCAAGTGAAAAGGCAGTCAAGTGGAAGATGAAGAAGACAAAATTCAGTCGAAAGAAATATAAAGTAATAAAAGAGAGAAAAGAAGAATGAGAAAATGATGAAATTACGTACGACGTCGTAAGATGAGGATAATGTGTGTATACATCTGCGACACTGACATCGGTTCTCAGCTATATCACCTAGAGTCAGTCTCCAACCACTGTTTGGTTTCTTTTGTCCCATGGACCCCAACCAGCTAAGTTTGCATCGCCCCACATGACTCAAACCAACAGTCAAACACTTTATATTTGAAACAATTAGTCCCTTTAATAAATTTCGATAACGATATTTAGAAGACGAAGATTATCTGAAAAATATGATGTGTTTGCGCAATACATTTTGAACAATCTGATCCCCCACACACATTTACTTGTCTCACTCAACTCAATTTATATATGAGAAATTAAAGGTCAAATATAGTGAATATGAAAAGGTTGTGACACTAGTCTTAGTAATATATTCAGATTGCCAAGGATTACCGAGGTAAATTAAGTGAAACAACAAATTATTTTTGTACTCACAGTGGGGGATTAAGTTTACGAATGGCTAACGCTTCGGCAAACTTCAATATACGCCCCTGATTATTCCTGTACAATATCTTGAAGGCTGTTTTCTTATTAACCTGCACTTATCAAAGTTTGTGTGTTAAACTGTTTTTCTAGCCATTTGGGTATGTGTTACCCACCCTAGTCTGCATTGAACGATTACTCCTCCTTATGTATATGTGCCCACACATACATGTAAATTGGTAAACACCGTGGGATGTGATGTAATCATTTGTGGGAGGTTGAGGTTTGTAGTGAAGCCGGTGTTTTGTCATCTCAACAATGATAAGCTGAGCTGCATAGTATGTTTTACTGATAACAGATTTTAATCTCTGCTCCAATGTCCTACTACTTGTTTTCCCTCTGTATGGTACTTTAAGAAATGTGTTTTTCTTCGGGACAGAGGAAACTATAGGCTTTGGGGTCAGTTGTTTTTTTACAATGGTTGACAAACTGTAATGGATAACCGTTTTCCATGAGAGTGTCTGTCAGCAATTTATTCTCACCATCCATTGTCTCAGATGTACAAATACGTTGGGTTCCATTCAACAAGCATATTACCAAGCCTCTCTTATATTTCATCGAACAAAAACTATAGGAATTCAAATACTGTCCTGTCCAAGTAGGCAAGTTGATGGTCTTTTTCTTCCTCACATATCAAGACTGATATGATCTTGTTTAAGATATTATACAGGAATAATTAAGTGCGCATATTGAAGTTTGCCGAAGCGTTAGCCATTCGTAAACTTAATCCCCAGCTGTGAGTACAAAAACAATTTGTTGTTACACTTAATTTATCTTGGTAATCCTTGGCAATCTGATTATATTACTAAGACTAGTATCACAACCTTTTCATATTCACTATATTTGACCTTTAATTTTCATATATAAGTTGAGTTGAGTGAGACAAGTAAATGTGTATGGGGGATCAGATTGTTCAAAATGTATTGGGCAAACATTTTATACGTTGATGTCGTGCTTTAGTCTAGCAATCTGTAAATATTTGACATATTCTCTAGACTAATAAACCGAGTAGGATCAAATTCATTCCAATCAGTGTTCATGTATGCAATAGACGATGAAACTACACCTATTCTGAGAGGGATAATGATAATCCATATCTTGTTAGGTGGAGTAACTTTATGACTCACTATTCGAAAGTAAGATAACACATTAACTAAGCTACCTTATTGATATATAATTCTATTTCTTAGCAAATCACTAATAATAACAGTCATGTAGTTAATATATTTGATGATTGAACCAACAAATTTTGATTATTTCAAGTTGTTATTCACTGTAGACTGACATCACTTGGAGGAACAAAGGAAACCTGGGAGCCCTGGACAGCCAATTGTTTCTTCCTAGTATGGGACTCCTCAGCAGTGCGCACCCACGACCCCACCAGCAGGGATCGAGCCCAACTGATGTCAGTCTACGATGAATGACAACTTGAAATAATTTCAAATCTCCACAACTCCCTCAAAGTTTAAATTTTGATTAGATTATTCATACAACAGTCATGAATTATCAATACGTGTGCCAAAAACTACAAAACGCATAGCCAGAAGTATATCTCATCAGTTTTACATTGTCACTAAGATTTTCCAACTTTATCTCGAGATATTCAGTTACATTGCTGCTTATAGACGATGAGAAACCTTTTAGAAATTGTACGATCCACTTTGATATTTCGTACAGATGAGTTGTATTTCAACTCTTCCCGCTCTCATCCTCCAAACTGTGATATTAACGCGGTTTCCGCTGAAAACTACTCCTGAACTTTACCAGCCAAGAGTATAACTAGAGAAACATACTACTACTGAACAACTTGAGTAAATTTTAAGTGATCTGAATTAATTCGGCTCTATGACATGAATTTTTTGTCCAGGTGATACCACTGATGAACTGACTTGGCCATAATCGAGGGAAACAATTATCTACTGTTTAGATCACTGATCTGGTTGGTTAGTTGATTGGGAAATCTACATAGACCAGCTTGAATGGTTTCTAACTACACTTAAGTTGTTCAGTAGTAACAAAAAATAAAATGTTATCGTGAATTTTTCATCTACTTAGATTCATGTTATTGAAGCGATTAATCGCGGGTTCGAGTCCCGGTCGGAACAATATCACTCACTAAGAGGCAGGTAAATCCAGCTAGTAAGTCCCAAATAGGATGAAACGCAAGTCCTGGATTTCACTGCTAGCTATTAGCATATATTGAAGTAAATTAGGCATATTAAGAAAGGCAAACATAAACTTACCGAATAATGTACAAAGACGAGCTATTACACCACGTAATAACAAATCAGTATTCTCTCTTAACTGATGAGCAGTAAAACGTAATAGAATTGCATAAGCTAGTTTACCAGCTGGTATTGCCCATTCAACAGGATTTGAAGGATCTAACAGTCGAGAAGTTACATGAAGTATGTAACCAACTCCATTATTACCTAAAATAAATCATATGGCAAAAAGAGACAGAGAAATTAATAAATTTCCAGTTATTAGCCGTCAATCGAAAAGTTTCTTAACATTAATTTTTGTTTTATGTTACTGAATGGTCAAGAAAAACTTGATTGGACAATTTAATCCTACAGTTGACCAATCAAAAAAATGTGTATAAATGATGTATTTTTATTGAATAAAATGTCTTTCTTACAGTGAAAGGTCATTCTTTGCCTGCACATTTCCACGGTTCAATGAAGTATAAAGTACTGAAAACAGAAAACAGTGGCTATTCGCATTCAAGCCAAGTGTCTCATCGGATTAGCATCCTTCAAGTATTTTTTTTTCCTCAATCATTATTCACTCGGTGGTCACTTCAAAAACGGACTCATTTAAAATAATGGAGAATATTTGTAGCTGAGGTGTTCTCTGAGCTCAGAGAACACAATACAACCAAGATGGACTCATTTAGCTTACCTTTTTAATCCAAAATATCAGTTTATTGATAAGACATTAAATTGAAAAAGCTGACAGATATAGATGTATTTCTTAATAGTTTATAGGCAAGTGATACTATTCCCTTGCCCAAAATTGAGTTAGCTGTACGGGGTTCGAACTTGAGACTCAGTAAGGTTAGATATCAAATGATTTAGTCACTAAGCAATATTTTTACTGGAGCTAAATAATCATTGTAAAATAGTAGTAAACATTTGTGCTTTTTCGATTTCAAAGCTTGAAAGCTTTAAATTCTAAAAGTAGCATTCGAACAATGCAGAGGATTCTTATATTGGTACTTGTAACGCTTTAGCGTTTGAAATAATCGATCGCAGGTTCGAGTCCCAGTGGGAAAACATCTCTCACAGCGAGACAGAGACATTCATCTGACCAGAGAGTCCCAAATAGCTCAAAAAGCACGTCAGTGAATTCCACTATTAGCCACTACTATCACTGACATACAAATGCAAATTCTAGAGTAAAAGAGTAACATTATTATTATTATTATTGTTATTATTATTGTAATTATTTGTCCCTAGTGGAACATTGGTCTTCAGTAGAACGACGCTATTTCACTCTCTTCCCTCCGGTCTTTCCAACCTGGCTCCACCACTGCCCACAAGCTGCTTTCATTTCTTCCTCACGTGATCTCCTCTATGTCACCCTGAGCTAGGACGCCCAACTAGTCCTTTCCCATTTCGCTTCCATTCAACGACCTGGTCTGGCCTGACGCGTCATGTCCCCAGACCATCTTCTCAGTCTACATCCAATACAATACAATCCATCTCAGCTTTCCTCTACTGTATATTTGTTGGGTGATAGGTTCTTGCTCCATTGGTTGGTTCCTTAACAGCCAACCACAGTTCCTCCTTACTTATTCTCACCATCTCATCTCCATCTTCACTATCGAGTGAGTGAGCATAGGCGGCAGCTGCACATGTGACTCATACCTGCAGTTTGCTGGAAATGCTTTTCCTAACGCACCAACTCTCTCAACTATCACACAGAGGGACTGACTTACTTGACAGACATTCATGTTGATAATCCAGATATTGTTCACACATTATGCTGAGTGAAGTGGAGTGGAGTGCAGTAGATCTCCACACTGATTATTTCAGATTGATGAAGAAAGGCCAGTCTTGCTGTTTTTCCGATCCTGGCTGGCTTTGACATCTTCATATGTACCTGTGCCACCACCTGTAGTTGAGTAGATGCTGCCTAGCTAGGTAGGTGAAAGAAACAACTTTGTTTAGATTTCTCCCATTCATTCTCCCATTTCTCTCATTCATATTCAAAAAAGGAGAGTCTCAACCACCTAATAATATTTATCATTGATGAAATAAATAAGGTAGGTAACCAGATAAAAAAAAAGATAAAACATGATATAATAAATAATGAATAAACACTAATAATCTTGACTAGAATTAGTAGAATAGAATAAGGAGAGAGAAAATACGTTGTACTCACCTTCATCATCATGCCAGTCAAGAATTTGTTCAGGACTAGCGGCCAGATAACATCGTATCACATCACAGCATTCCTAAAAACAATTAAAAATAAGATAATATAAAGGAGTAGAACTTGAGCACTGTAGTCGATTGTAATTCCATTCTAGCCGGTTAATAAGAAATATCGCATACTGTGAAGGAACAGTATCATTTACTAGATAACGTTTCGAACACAACTTATTGTCCATATTCATATCAGGTAACTAACTTAACAACTTCGAAACAGACTTCAGTTAGTTCTCATTCTCTTTCTTTCTCTGTAATGACAAGGGTAGTAGAATACTCTATATATCTGGGACAGATAGAGAGTCTTTCAAGTTGTTATTCATTGTAGACTGACATCAGTTGGAAGAACAAAGGAGACCTGGGAACCCTGGACAGCCAACTGTTTCGTCCTAGCATGGGACTCCTCAGCAGTGTGCACCCACGACCTCACCCCCAGGGATCGAACCCGCAACCTTCAGGTTCCGTGGCCAGCACGTTATTATTGGACTTGATCCCTGGAGGGCAGGGTCGTGGGTACGCACTGCTGAGGAGTTCCACACTAGGACGAAACAGTTAGCTGTCCAGTGCTCCCAGGTTTCCTTTGTTCCTCCAAGTGATGTCAGTCTACAATGAATAACAACTTGAAATATTTCCAAATCCCCACAACTCCCTCAAGATACAGAATCATTTCTATCATTGCATATATTTGATGCTGATTTGATAAACAAAGATCTAGTCGGTCATCAATCTCTCCCTCCCTCCACCCAACTAACTTAGTTTTCAACACTGTCGCTCTATCCCAACCTATTGTATGTCATCGCATGCAGAGTTATATCCGAGCTTTTCTCTAGATTTCCTATCTAATTAGGATCTACTAATCTTCATTTAGTTAAGTTTATGTGCTCTGTTATTTTAATCGATCCTGGCTGGTCGACTGCTTTAACCTATGTACTTGACCTCTCAATCATTGCAAGGGATCTGGTAAATCAGATTATTTAGCTTAATTGTATCGATAGGATCTTTTAACCTACAAAGCTCGTTTCTAAGTGAGTTTGTTAGTTTTTAAATGCCGTCACTTTAATCCTAGACAGCCTTATTGAGAATTCTACGTAATGTTTCTGAGTTGCTTGTCTTACATGGTAACACAGTAGAGGCTTTAAATTCTCTCTCAACCCTGTCAAAATTGTTGCCATTAGTAGTGGAATTATTATTAATAACACCTGTAAAGTACGAAAATGGTTGGCTATCGTTGAAAAAGATACATTCCTTTCAACAGATCCAAAGGGAAATAGTACATGAACTCCGAAGAAAAAAAAACAATACAGATTTAAATGATGAAAAAGATTCGTAGGTGAGGATGCAAATTATTATTATTATCCCTTGAGTTCCTAGTAGAACATACAGCTTCAGTAGCACATCTCCATTCCACTCGCTTCTCTGCAATCTTCTGAACCTGTCTCCACAAAAGCCTACAAGCTATCAATTCTTCTTCACACGATCTCCTCCATGTCACCCTCGGACGCCTAACTCGCTGTTTCCCATCTGGGTTCCACTCGAGTGCCTGGCTCGGTGCGTGATGTCCCCAGTCAGTCTTCCAATCCCAATCCAATCCACTTCCTTCTACATATTTGTTGAGCGATACGTTCTCGCTTCGTTGGTTCGTTACCAGCTAGTCAGAGTTCCTTGTTACCTATTCTTTCTGGCCATCTGAGCTTCAGTAACGAGTCAGAGTAGGCAGTTGTTGATGAATATCTGCAGTTTGTTGGAAATGCTTTTCGTGACACGCCAAGTCTCTGAAAATCCAGATGTTGTTCAGGCCTTAAGCTGATGCAAATGGTGGTAGTTTACTATTCTTCCGACTTGATGATGAAACCTTCATGACAAAGTACCTAATAAAGCTTAGATAATATCAAATCAGTCAGTAATTATTTAATGATTTATTCAATGGATAATTAATTTTGGAGGAAATTTTATAAATGCATAAAATTAAGTGAAAAACCTACCGAAATCACAATAGAATCTGTGTTTGTAATAGCAATATGTACAACAGTTGGAAATACACGTTGTATTAGATTTGAACTGATGCCAAATTCTGATGGACTGATCAATACACAGAATACCTTCAAAGCTGCCTATCAATATAAATACAATACAATAATGGAAAAAGGGGAGGAGGAGAAGTCAATGAGACAAACATTAGTGATATGTATACATGAGTGAAGAGTATGTGTAATTAATATCATGTTGTCTAGTTCATAGTGGGGACTGAACTCAGTATCTATAAAGGAAACTTATTCGTCTCACGTTTTGCAAATAGACACCGTTCACTAGTTTAAACAACCACAGAGAAAAACATATCTAATAAGGTATTTCATCAGCTATCTGAAGTTCAATAATTATCCTTGATAAAACCTTACACATATGTTGTAACGGAATATGGAAGGAAATTACACTGATTGGTCACTAGAAAGCAATCAATCTCACGTTGTCTAAGATTCTAGGTTCTGTAATTCTTCGACACCTGAATGGCTTTAGACCCGGCCGCGGGTATGTCGACCAAATACTAACAGTGCATAAGGCTCTGGAACATAGGTACGATTACCGACGCCCCACAATGACCATATTTCTCGACCTGAAGACAGCGGCAATCGACTCCGTTGATCGAGAAGCCTTAGGGCAGTGTCTCTCACTGAAAGGCGTGCCAAGTACATCACCTTAATGTAGGATCTCTACTCGAACACTTGCGGGCGTATTAAGCCTGTAATGAGATGTCCGGAAAGCTGTACTCGTCAAGCAGAGTCTAATATCTCCATTCCTATACAATTTTATCATAGATTTTCTTATGGAGGTCTCCCTCTTGTCACCTGACTATAAAAAGCTCCAAAAAATTGCGAGAGAATTCTCGTTGAATCTGGAATACGCAGATAACATAGTCCTGTTACATAAATACGCTAAAAACATACACAGTCTTCTAGACACTTTCAGAGGCAATTTCAGGATGTTTGGGGTGCGTTTCTCACCACCTAAATCAAAACTGTTGTTACAAGATTGGTCTTCAACGGTGCTTCGCCTAACAATAGAGAATGTAGTGGTTGAGTGTCTCGACCACTTCACTCACTTCGGAAGTAGCATCACCCCTACCCTAGTGGCTACCCCAGTGACCAATGAAATCTCTGTACGAATACAAAAGTCTCGGTTGGCTTTGCCGAAATACGACACCTGTAGCGCCCCCACGATATCCAAATGTCTATTACGGGTGCGTCTACTCCACACAAGTCCACTCTGTTCTACTCTATGGCTGTGAAACATGGCCATCAAAGGTGAAAGATATGAGAAGGCTGGCTTCAGGTGTTTGACCATCACCATTGCCTTCGTAGTACAGACTGTATTCCGTGCTGTCACCTTGTGAGTAACACAGAAGTCAGGTATACAGTTTTAGACAGAACAGGTAAGTCAGTTGACGAGGTTATGAATCTTCATCTTCTGACATGGTTACCTCAAACATTGTGTGACGTATGTCTAGTCACCGTCTGCCTCATCACACAATGTTGACCGAAGTAGACTCAGGCTGGAAAAAGCTCGAGGTTCTCAGTCAGACCGAAACATGGCATCAATGTATGAGATGTTTGACTGTTGGTTTGAGTCATGTAGGGCGATGTAGACTAGCCGGTTGGGGTGCACGGGACAAGAGAAATCATTAGTTAGAGGCTCCAAGAGATATGGTTCACAACTGATTGATGTCAGTGACACAGATGTATGCATACATTATCCCCATCTCAGTGCTATACTGAATCTCACCATTTTCTCATTCTTCCTTTCTCTCTCTTTTCGTACTTTGTATTTCTTTTGACTGAATTTTCTTTTCTTCACCTTCCACTTCACTGTCTTTTCACTTGATGTACTGATATGAGGTGTGGCAACTCAGACTGTTACGCAGTAATTCCTAGCCTTATGTTGATTTGGATGATGTCGTCCAGATGATCATGAGTGTTGACCGAATATTATTAGTTGTTTCTCAATGTGGCTACCAGGCCAGACAGCTCAGCAGCATGATACACTTCGATAGATGTCAGTTGGATGAAGCCAATCAGCAGGAAGTCTTGGACGTAGGTTTCGCGCTTGTTACCACTCATCAGCAAGGCCTATCTGTAACCCCGATGGATGTGATGTCCCGCATGAGATTCGAACTCATTTCACCAGTATGCTGCAGTCAGTAACGTTACCACTGACCTACTTAGATCGTAACTGACCTCCTGTAAGACTAGATTAGGCACATTGATCGGTCATTGGAAAGTAACCAACTCCATGTTGCCTAGTTCTAAGTGCTAAGAGGCTCAGCATCACAGAGCACATTGATGGATGTTGGTTGGTAGGAGGGAATCGACATACGGCCTTCAACTTAGGTTTCGTATTTATCTGCACTCATTAGTCAGCAAGGCGTTTCGAGAACCTAGAGGGAATTTATGTCCAGTGTGAGAATGAAACTCGTAGAGAGATATCAAAATTCTAAATAAATAGAGAGCAACTCCTCTTTACATAGACTATCCATCATCCATCCAGATCAACATAGGACCAGGCATTACTGCGTAACGGTCCCACTTGTCACACCTTATATCAATACGTCAAGTAAAAAGGCAGTGAGGCGCAAGATGAAGATAAACGAATGCTGTCAAAAGAAATATCAAGTAAGAAAAGAGAGAAACGAAGAGTGAAAAAATGGTGAGATCTGTGCCACTGACATCAGTTCTCAGCCATGTGATCACTTAAAGTCAGTCTCCAACCACTGGCTTTTCTTCTCGCACGGACCCCAACCGGCTAGTCTGCATCGCCCCACATGGCTCAAACTAAAAATCAAACACCTCATACATTGATGCTATATTTTAGTCTGGCCGAGAACCTCGAGACTTTTTCTAGCCTGAGTCTACTTCGGTAAACATTGTGTGATGAGGCAGAGGGCGACAAGGCATACGTCACACATGTTGGAGGCGACCATCTCAGTCGATGAAGGTTCACAACCTCGTCAACCGACCTACCTCTTCTCCCTAAAATTCTACACCTGACACTTCTATGTGAATCACATGGTGACAGCACGGAATACAGCCTATACTACGACGACAAACGTGGTCAAACACCTGAAGCCTTCTCATGTCTTCCACCTTCAATGGCCATTTTTCACAGCCATACAGTAGAACAGACCGGAATGCTGTGCAGTATACGCGACCCTTAGTAGACAATCGGTTACATGGCGGCGCCATAGGTGGCGTAAGTTAGTAAAAGCCAATCGAGCCTTTTGTATCCGTGCAGAGATTTCACCGGCCACTCAGCCATCAGGGCTGATTCTACTTCTCAGGTAAGGGAAGTGGTCAACACACTCAACCATTACACTCTCTATAGTCAGCCGTGATACCGTTGAAACCAATCCTCGAGCAACAATTCGCATTTGGATGGTGAGAAACACATCTCAAACATCTTTACAGAGATCGGAGCTATACGAGGAAGTAGATTATGAAAAAAATACAGAACGGAGAAGAATTCAAGAATGACAGTACTACACCATAACTCTTACATAATACATGAATAGAGACTTCATAGGTACATAAAAAAGCAACTATGATGCATCAGGTCATATATGAAATGACTTTCCCTACCGATCAAAATAGTCATGATAAAGTAAACAAGGGGCTATGTAATCATAACATTACCTACACATACGATCAACAACTTGAATATTTGATAATACAAGTGGATTGATGCACTTGACTATGATGAAGCAAAGGTTTGTATGGTCAAACTTAAAATCGATCACTTGAAAGGTCTATGCCATAGAGTTAGTCGACTCTCGACACTCTTGACAAAACTTTAATGTTTAATGATTTTTTTGGTTTTCTACACCATACTCACATTTCTCAGGTTGACCAAACGTTACTAACTATGAAGATGAATTCTAATTAGGTGTATATGCATGAAAATAGTGTACACAATAGGCGATACACTCTTACTAACGGAGAAAGCCCCTAGTTCAATATGTCTATAGCAGAGATGGAAACGAGCACTCGGGATAGGTCGACTGGTCGTAATCTCATAGTCACTAACCTACTATTATCAACCAACAGGACTTCAATGTTCCTTATTACCGAACTTCTTCAACAATGATCATTTTATATTGTCAAGTTATTAAAAGAATAGGAATCTGACTTTTAGTACATTTATGGTGGTCTGACAACCTAGCCTGGTTAACTAGTTCACTAGTTACTAGCCGGTCCTAAGCCCGGGTAAAGAGGGAAGGTTGGGCATACGGCTAGCAACCCTACCCCGTAAAACAAATCTAACCGCTAAACAAACTTCAAAGCACAAACAAAATATAAAAGATGAAAACAAAATTATTCCTCGCTGGAATCGGAGAGGTGAAATGACGCCAGTTGGTGAAAGCCTTCGGGAAGCCAATTGGCCAATGTGTCTTCTCTCCCTCGATGAAAGCGAAAGTAAACGTGGGGACATGGAATGTCCGCACCATGTTTGAACCCAGTAAGGCAGCCCAGATTGCAAAGGAGATGAGAAGGTATCACATTGAAGTGCTTGGGATTTGCGAAAGCAGATGGAATGGGAGTGGACTCTCCAAACTGTCAACTGGAGAATCAATAATCTACTCCGATATTGTCACCCAGACGCCAACCACGAGCACACTGAGGGAGTGGCTATCATGATGTCCTCAAGAGCATCGAAGGCTCTCATGCAGTGGGAACCAATCTCCTCCAGGATCATGACAGCAAGATTCAACTCAAAAGGAAGAAAGGTCACAATCATACAATGCTACGCTGCACCTACAAATAATGCAGAGCAAGAGAAAAAGGAGGAATTCTACAGACAACTTCAATCAACACTGGACAAGACACCGCTCAGTTGGCGATATTAAAATTCTAATGGGCGACATGAATGCCAAACTGGGAGCGGACAACACAGGAAGAGAACTAACCATGGGTCGAGAGGCGCTAGGTGAGGTGATGAACGAGAATGGAGAATTGTTTGCAGAATTCTGTGCATTCAACGATTTAGTGATTGGAGTCAAGCACTGTGCTCAAGCACAAGGATATCCACAAAGCGACATGGATTTCACCAGACACCAGGACACACTAAAAATCAAATCGACTTCATCTCAATCTCAAGAAAATGGAGACGCAGTCTACTTAACACAAGGTCAAGAAGAGGAGCAGATGTAGGTTCAGACCACTCCCTATCTAGTGCAAGAAACCTTCCAAATCAAGTTGAAAGCCTTCAAGGAAGCTGGTGATAGACCTCAATTCAAGTACAACACTCGGAAACTGAAGGATGAAACTACAAAGGAGATCTTCAAGGCAGCCATCAAGGCAAAATGGGAGATATCGAGGAACATCCCTGAAGAAACCTTGTGGAAGAACACTGGAAGTCTTTGAAAGCTATGTGGAAAGAAACCTGCACAACCGTATTAGGAAGGAGGAAGAAAGAAGACAAGGAATGGATCTCGACGGATACATGGAAGCTGATAGAGTAGTGAGAGGAGGATGGTGAAGCAGAAGATAAACCAGTGCAAGGATGCTCAACGACAAGAGGAACTGAGTACAATGTATAAAACACTACACTGGACAAAGAAGTGAAGAAGAGTGCACGCAAAGACAAAAGACACTTCTACGAAACACTGGCAAGTGAAGCAGAACAGGCTGCAGGTAGGAGAGACAGAGACTTGACGACATTGTATCAAATAACCAGGTTGCTATTTGGGAAGAGATCAACACAGATGAAACCAATAAAAGATGAAGAAGGAAATTTAATTACGAAAGAAGAGAAACAAAGGAAACAATGGGCCGACCACTTCAAGAAGCTCTTGAATCGACCACCGCCACCACCTGCACTTCGTCCACAAATACCACCTGCAGCCGCTGAATTACAAGTGGACATAAATCCCCCAACGAAAATGGAAGTCCTGAACGCCATAAAGCTACTGAAATGCGGGAAAGCAGCAGGACCAGATGGAATACCGCCAGAAGCACTGAGAGCAGACGCAGAGACAACAGCAGACATGCTCACACCACTATTGCAGAAGGTGTGGAAGGAAGAGAAGGTACCTGGCGATTGGAAGAAGGGTTACCTTGTCAAACTGCCGAAGAAAGGAGACCTCAGTGTTTGCAAGAACTGGCGAGGAATCACTCTCCTGTCCACCCAGAGCAAGCAAAATATTAAGCCGCATCATCCTAGAGAGGCTTAAAGATACACTGGATTCAAAACTACGACCGGAACAGGCAGGCTGGCTTCAGGAAGTACAAATCATGTGCAGACCAAATTGCAACGCTACGCATCATCATAGAACAGAGCATAGAATGGCAATCAGCTCTCTACCTCAACTTCATCGACTTTGAGAAGGCCTTTGACAGCGTCGACCGAGAAGTAATTTGGAAACTGCTTCAATACTACGGAGTACCGCAAACCTTTATCAGCCTCATTCAACAACTATATGAAGATGCCACATGCCAAGTAATTCACAATGGACATCTCAGCTCAGTGATGCTTTTGAAGTGAAGACAGGAGTGAAACAAGGTTGCCTACTATCCCCCATGATATTCCTGATTGTGGTGGACTGAATCATGCAGCAAACAGTGGGCAGCTAGAAGAGGGGGATACGCTGGACTGCGGAAAAGAACCTAGAAGACTTGGATTTCGCTGATGACTTGTGCCTAATGTCACACAAACTTGAAGATCTACAGGCAAAAACTAACAAGTTGACAGAAGAGGCAGCGAAGACGGGACTTCAAGTGAATATAGAGAAGACAGAAGTGATGAAGATACCGCACCACCACCACCAACAACAACAACAAACTCCAATCACCGTCAACGGGAGAAACTTAAAGGAAGTAACCTCCTTCACCTATCTAGACAGCACTGTTTCAACTACAGGCACCACGGGCACAGACGAGGATGTCAAAGTCAGACAGAATCGGAAAAGCAAGACAGGCGTTCATTAGCCTGAAACCAGTGTGGAGATCTTCTGCACTCAGCATGTGGAACAAGATACGGATTTTCAACACCAACCAGTCAAGTCAGTGCTTCTGTATGGTTCAGAGACTTGGCGCGTTACGAAAGGGATTTCCAACAAACTACAGACATTCATCAACAACTGCTTACGCTCGCTACTGAAGATCAGATGGCCAGAAAGAATAAGCAACAAGGAACTCTGGGAACGAACCAACCAAGAACCTATCGCTCAACAAATATGCAGGAGGAAGTGGAGGTGGATTGGGCATGCACTGAGAAGGCCGACTGGGGACATCACGCGTCAGGCCAGGCACTCGAGTGGAATCCCCATGGTAAGCGACGAGTTGGACGTCCGAGAGTGACATGGAGGAGGTCGTGTGAGGAAGAAATGAGAGCTTGTGGGCTGTCGTGGAGCCAGGTTCAAAAGATTTCGGAGAACAGAGTTCACTGGAGACGTGCTACTGAAGCCCTATGTTCCACTAGGAACCCAAGGGACTAATAATAAAAATAATAATGGTGGTCTGACGATTGTCATATTCAAAAATAATCTATGCGAATCTCCAAGCATAGCATATTTATACAAAATGAATTTACCAGTTGCATAGCAGGTAATTTCCTTGATAATATAGATAGGTATGTTCAATAGATGAGAAGTTACAGTAAATCGATGACTATTTGTGCATACAATAGATCGACCTTTGTTGGCATATGGCTTTCTATGCCAATGGCACGATAATACCTGCATATGTATTGTTACTTCGTTGTCGGTAGCACTGAAATCCAAGATGTAGTCACTCACTGATGTGTAGGTATAACTAAGTGTGGAGTAATGGCCCAGCAGTTTAGAGAAATGACTAGTAACTAGTAAGCTACAGGTTCGAGTCTTACTCCACTAAGTAGCATCGCTACTTCTCACATACTAGGTATGACTCATTGACTACTGTACGGATAAGCTCAAGGTGGTTGAGCGTATTTCGTTCGAACATACACCTCGATAGAACGAAACGTGCATCCTAGATCCCATTGCTGATTAAAATGTAGATATGGTGAGAAGCTTACCATTCTAATTGATGATGATAATAATAATAATAATATTATTATATTATTATTATTATTATTATTATTATTATTATTAGTCCCTTGGGTTCCTAGTGGAACATAGGGCTTCACTAGCACGTCTCCATTGAACTCTGTTCTCCGAAATCTTTTGAACCTGGCTCCACGACAGCCCACAAGCTCTCATTTCTTCCTCACACGACCTCCTCCATGTCACTCTCGGACGTCCAACTCGTCGCTTCTCATGGGGATTCCACTCGAGTGCCTGGCCTGACGCGTGATGTCCCCATTCGGCCTTCTCAGTGCATGCCCAATCCACCTCCACTTCCTCCTGCATATTTGTTGAGCGATAGGTTCTTGTTTTGTTGGTTCGTTCCCAGAGCTCCTTGTTGCTTATTCTTTCTGGCCATCTGATCTTCAGTAGCGAGCGTAAGCAGTTGTTGATGAATGTCTGTAGTTTGTTGGAAATCCCTTTCGTAACGCGCCAAGTCTCTGAACCATACAGAAGCACTGACTTGACGTTGGTGTTGAAAATCCGTATCTTGTTCCACATGCTGAGTGCAGAAGATCTCCACACTGGTTTCAGGCTAATCAACACCTGTCTTGCTTTTCCGATTCTGACTGACTTTGACATCCTCGTGTGTGCCCGTGGTGCCTGTAGTTGAAACAGTGCTTCCTAGATAAGTGAAGGAGGTTATTTCCTTTAGGTTTCTCCCGTTGACGGTGATTGGAGTTTGTTGTTGTTGTTGGTGGTGGTGGTGCGGTATCTTCATCACTTCTGTCTTCTCTATATTTACTTGAAGTCCCGTCTTCGCTGCCTCTTCTGTCAACTTGTTAGTTTTTGCCTGTAGATCTTGAAGTTTATGTGAAATCAGGCACAATATATGAGCGTAGAAGAGGGGATATTTTTCCTTCATTCAATACCTTATAAAAGCTTGTATACATACATCTTTAGATCACAAAGACGATGTATACTTGATAACTAATCCTAAGCACGATAAATTCAGTGCAGAATAAAGACAGAAATAATCACTTGATAAACACAGAGAGAACCCTAAAGAAAAATATTTCTCAATTTGACAACTTACCTCAACACTTCCACAATCTGATGTCTCTTGACTTTCTAAACAGCTGATTAAAGTAGGCATAAATGCATTTTCAATCAATTCAATTGACTCTTTACTTGAATTGGACACTTTGTATACAAGTCGAATTATCTTTGTATAGTAGGAGAGTGTAGTAGCAACTAGAAGAATGAAAATAAATCAATTAATTAATTAAAGAGGATATTGAATATAAAAACTTTATTCTGTCTTTCTAGCTTCTTCTGCCAATATTAACAATGGAAGTTACCTTCATTAGTAGAACATACAGCTTCAGTATTACGTCATCATTTCACTCTCTTCTTTACAATCCCTTCAACGGGCTCCACCACTTCCCAGAAGCTGCTTTCATTTCTTCCTTACACAATATCATCCATGTCACCCTCGGCTCACACTCCAAACTCCTCCATTCCCATACGCTCTCCTCTCAACAGCCCGGTCTGACCTGATGCCTGATGTCTCCTAACCGTATTCTCAGTCTACGTCCAATAAAATACAATCCATCTCCACTCTCTTCTACTGTATGTTTGTTGGGTGATAGGTTCCTGATTGGTTCGTTGCCAACCAGCCACACTTCCTCCTTGCTTATTCTCATTATTCTATTCTGCCCATCTCATCTTATCTGATCTGATCTTCAGTGTCAGTATCCAGTGAGTGAGGGTAGGTGGCAGCCGCTCATGTGAATCATGTCTGCAGTTTATTGGAAATGCTTTTCGTAAGGCGCCAACTCTCCCCACCATCATACAGAAGCACTGACTTACTTCATTGGCATTCGTGTTGAAAATCTGGATATTGTTCAAGCTTTATGTTGAGTACAGTGCAGTGCAGTAAATCTCCACACTGATTATTTCAGATGGATGGAAGAAGGCCTGTCTTGCTGTCTCTCCGATCCTGGCTGGCTTTCATACCCTCATCTGTGCCACCTGCAGTTCCCTGTAGTTGAAACGATGATGCCTAGGTGTGTAGGTAGGTAGGTAGGTAGGTAGGTAGGTAGGTAGGTAGGTAGGTAGGTAGGTAGGTAGGTAGGTAGGTAGTAGGTAGGTAGGTAGGTAGGTAGGTAGGTAGGTAGGTAGGTAGGTAGGTAGGTAGGTAGGTAGGTAGGTAGGTAGGTAGGTAGGTAGGTAGGTAGGTAGGTAGGTAGGTAGGTAGGTAGGTAGGTAGGTAGGTAGGTAGGTAGGTAGGTAGGTAGAAGAAATTATGGCAATAAACTTCTAGCATTTATTTCATTTGCTTTATTGTACTGATTTCATATGTTTCTCTGCTGCTTTGTGAATACAGCATCCTACTTTACACCTCGAGTTATCTCCTGATGTTTATACTGTCTGTCACTAGTGGATCAGTAGTATGAGGGATAATAATAAATGCGACAGTGTTTCACGAAGTATACATAAATTTCGAGTCAGATAACAAGGCTCAACAAAACTAGTTACCACCAAGTGTATACAATATGGATATATACTGAGAATATTTCCATTTATTTTGTGGTAGGACAATCACATTTTTGTTGATTGTGTTTCTCGTACTCATATTATCTTCAGTTCTTCACATTGTTGTATTGTGTCGTAGTATTACTCATGTCCTTAAACTTTTATCATCAGGACTTTTCGAATGTAGGGTCCGTGGGTGCCATTAGTCTTCCTTAGGCTTTTTTAAAGTTTACTGAACCTCAATTATGTTCTGTCCACTTAGAAGAATTCATTATGGTTAATCGTATAACTCTACAAAACACAAAGTTTAGATCTACAAAAAAGAAGTTGCTGAACAAGAGAGATATGCCATTGAAGCCCGGCCACGCATACACTATCTTATGATGTTTTGAAGTAAGAAGTGATAAAACCTACTTCTTTATCTGACCAAAAACCTCCTAAGTAGCGTATGCCTTAGCAACAGAACACCTTCAGAATTTAAACAACATATCCAATGTCTATTGAAAGATAAGAAACTAGACAACCATCGATTCTATCAGCTTTCGCTACAGAAACTTCCTTCGTGTATTCGACAGAAAGCAGCAAATAGTGACATTGACAGATTAGCTAACATCACTGATCGTATATATGAAAGAATGTCTACATAGGACGACCGAGTGGCTGGTGTAGACAGAAAGACTGACACCTTTGTAGTTACACAGACAGTCACCAAAATTCTACAGTAGTAGAGCCCACAGTTGTGATAAAACCATGAGTAGAACTACGTCAAAAATTAGTACATGCTGGCAATATAAGAAGTTTGGCACAAAAGCATATCGTTGTCTGTTTCCGTGAGATTTTAAAACCCTTTCCTTTTCGAGATATGCAAAAGCCAATGGTCAGTGATGACTACTATCGTTGGCGTACAAGTCTAATATATAGAAGTCTATGAGATGACATACATAAACTTCTTAAGCGTATTATTTTGAAATTGCTTCACATATCAGAGTAACAATCTCAACAATGAATCTCAATGTTTCACTTGAATGTAAAAATCTTTAAAAAGACCGCGATCATTGAACATACAGACTTGACGAACATTCTAACCTCATATAAACCAGGGTGAATATCATTTCAATGGTAATCACCAGTTATGATTACAGATAGACAGATTAAGGTAGAACACGGCAGCAGAGAAGTGCATCACTTCAAGTTAACACACACACACACACCATAGCAGCATATAAGGCAGAAGTGTGTAAGAAAAGTGATATGAAAGTAAATCAATCAGTATGAGAGAATAAATACATAGAGATTATGAAGAAAAAATCGAGATACATTCAGAAACAACCACGTGCATATTCGTGTAGTAGGCTTGAACGCTAATAATATTACACCAGTGATCGATATGGTTAGAAATCAACTGAACCACAAGTCAACACAGATGATAACTAGCAGAATCTTCAAGAGTTCTTTAAAAATGATCCATTTCAAACCTTAACACTAAGGTCAAGTTAGTCAGTCAACACCTTCCTACACGGCTAAAAAAAATAACAATGAATCACAGACTTTATGGAAGGTACGACATTCTGTAGATATAGTAATGATGGATAGTGGCTAGCAGTGGAATCCAGGATGCCTATTTCATCCTATTTCGGACTCACTGGTTAGCTGGATGTACCTACCTCCCAGTGAGTGATGTTGTCCCCATCGGGATTCGGACCCGGGAGCCACGGCTTCATACGCCACAGCGTTATCCACTACAACACAGAACCACGATAGCCACTTCTTGTGCGACGGGTATAGTTTTAGTATAATTATTTTTATATCATATCATCGTTGCTTGGATCGAATTGATCGGTCTCTATTGGCATATGGGCTCTTGTGCGGATGCCTCGATATTGCCAGCGTTCTAATCCAGGATGCGTATTTCGTCCTATTTCGGACTCACTAGTCAGCTGGATGTACCTGCTTCGTAATGAGTGATGTTGTCCCCATCGGGATTCGGACTCAGGAGCGATCGCTTCATACGCCACAGCGTTATCCACTACAACACAGAACCACGATAGCCACTTCTTGTGCGACGAGTATAGTTTTAGTATAATTATTTTTATATCATATCATCGTTGCTTGGATCGAATTGATTGAACACATGTAATATCGAGGCATCCGCGCACATGATCCTATAAGCCAATAGACACCGATCAATTCGATCCTCAATTATTAACAGGAATCATAAACAGTAACATTATATGAAGAAAAAAAAAGAAAAATAAAAGTATTTCGATAGAAAATTGAATAACTTACCACCGATACAATGTTTAAAAAGACCAATCATAATAGGAATTATTTGTCCAATTATTGATTGTGTAAATTGATATAAATCAATCGTTAATAAATGATATAATCGAGATAAACCAATATCTAATACTGATTCACCGAATATTGATAAACATTCTAATAGATTCGATATTAAATTTGGTAAATATGGTACAATATAATTTTGTCTCCATACAATAGATGATGATGATGATCTACACTTTAGACTCATAGAAGTACTACTAGTAGATGGAGTAGTAGTAGACAATTTCATCTTTTTTCTATCATCAAATGTTTGAAGAACATTCAATGAATGCATAGCAGAAATTCTTAATATAGATGATTGTGTACTAGACATAGCATTGACTAGTAGACTTGGGAACCTGAAGAAGAAGAAGAGAAATTCAACATCAGCTAATCAAGTGTAAAAAAAAGTCATCAGGAAGACACAGATCTCCTCTTCAGAGATTTCAACCTGTACATATAGACAGTAGTAATCAACATATAGCAATATGATCGACACAATTCGATCAGCGATCATGATTAGTTCACTATCTACCAGCGATCAATCAATCTGCCTAATTCACTCTTACAGGAGGTCAGTCACTGAAGACACTATTGACCGCAAAACCAGATGACGCGGGTTCGAATCTTAGGTAAGAACATCAGTTCCATCAGGATAGCAGATATGCCATGTTGACGAGTTCCAACAAGTACGAAGGCTAAGCTCAGGACTTCTTATCGCCTCTCTCTAATCAATTAACATCTATTAAATGTATATCGCGATGATGAACCTCTTAGCTTGGTGATCACATTGTAAAACCATCGACTGGAATCAATCTGTACTTACGATTAAATAACATGAAGTTGGTTATCCTCTAGTGACCAATTATTGTATAAACAAAATTGTAGGCTGATGACCATGTGTTAATTTGTTTCATGAATGATATTCTACTACATCACAGCTAATGTTACCGTCGTATCGTTCACATTTAGTACCTAGATTATTACTATTACCATTATTTGTCTCTTGGGTTCCTAGTGGAACATAGGGCTACACTACCACGTCACCATTTCACTCTCTTCTCTACAGTCCCTCCAACCTGGCTCCACAACTCTTCATTTCTACTTCACACAATCTCATACATGTCACCCTCGGCTCACACGCCAAACTCCTCCATTCCCATTTGGCTTCCACTCGACGACCTGGTCTGGTCTGGCCTGACACCTCATATCCCCAAACCGTATTCTCAGTCTATGTCCAGTCTAGTCCAATCCATCTCCACTCTCTTCTACTGAATATTTGTTGGGCAATAGGTTTTCGCTTCGTTGGTTGATTCGTTGCTAGCCAACCACAGTTCCTGCTTGCTTATTCTTATTATTCTCGCCATTCGATCTGATCTGATCTTCAGTGTCAGTATCCAGTGAGTGAGTGTAGGCTGCAGCAGTTCATGCGATGCATGTCTGTAGTTTGTTGGAAATGCTTTTCGTAAGGCGTCAAGTCTCTCAACCATCACATTGAAGCACTGCCTTACTTGACTGACATTCGTGTCGAAAATCCGAGTGTTGTTCACGCTTTATGCTGAGTGCAGCGCAGTAGATCTCCACACTGATTTCAGATTAATGCGGGAAAGCTCAATGATGCGTTTGAAGTGAAGACAGAAGTAAGACAAGGCTACCGCTACTAATACCGATGGTCTTTCTGATTGTGATCAACTGGACTCCAATTAATCATGCAATAACTGTGAGGAGCAAGAAGATGAGCATTCGTTGGCTGGACTAATGAAAAGACTCGAGAAGATTTGGAGTTCACCGGCGATGATCCGTTATGTTTAATGTCTTATCGCACAAACTCGAAGATCTACAGGCGAAAACTAACAGATTGGCAGAAGAGGTGAAGCCAGGCGAGGCAGCGAAGGAAGACGGGACTTCCTTCAGGTGAACGTAGAGAAGACACAAATGTTCAAGATACCCAAAGAACAACGACAACAACAAGCAACATGACCAGGAGAAATCTAAAAGAAGTCTCTCCCACCTACCTACCTAGGCACCATCGTCTCAACTAAAGGCAACTACAGGCGGCACAGATGAGGACATCAAAGACAGCCAGGATTGGAAAGAAAGCAAGACAGACTTTCCTAAATCAATTTGAAATAATCAAAGAGGAGATTTAATGCGCTCCACTGTGCACAAAGCGTGAACAACACTCGGATTTTCGACACGAATGTCAGTCAAGTAAGGCAGTGCTTCAATGTGATGGTTGAGAGACTTGACGCCTTACGAAAAGCATTTCCAACAAACTACAGATATGCATCGCATGAACTGCTGCAGCCTACACTCACTCACTGGATACTGACACTGAAGATCAGATCAGATCGAATGGCGAGAATAATAAGAATAAGCAAGCAGAAACTGTGGTTGGCTAGCAACGAATCAACCAACGAAGCGAAAACCTATTGCCCAACAAATATTCAGTAGAAGAGAGTGGAGATGGATTGGATTCGACTGGGCATATACTGAGAAGATGGTTTGGGGACATTAGACTGGACATAGACCGAGAATACGGTTTGGGGATATGAGGTGTCAGGCCAGACCAGACCAGGTCGTCGAGTGGAAGCCAAATGGGAATGGAGGAGTTTGGCGTGTGAGCCGAGGGTGACATGTATGAGATTGTGTGAAGTAGAAATGAAGAGTTGTGGAGCCAGGTTGGAGGGACTGTAGAGAAGAGAGTGAAATGGTGACGTGGTAGTGTAGCCCTATGTTCCACTAGGAACCCAAGAGACAAATAATGGTAATAGTAATAATCTAGGTACTAAATGTGAACGACAGGATAGTCGACATCTAGCTTAAATAACATAAAGTACAAAATAGTATTAGATAGAAGAGATTTCATTACAATCTAGAGCCGCAACTCTGATGTCTGTATACAATGTAAGCGTCTTTTTGGATGAACAGTTAAATTACCGGCAGGATAATTAATATCAATCTAGAGGGGGATTCTTCTCTCAACGCATATTGTGATGAGTTGAACTTGTTTACAGCTTGATTGAAAAAAAAACTCACCGTATAACCTCTCACCCACTTCAAAGTAGCATTATAAAGAACAGATGGATAGAAAATCAGTGAAATTAAAGCAGACATAGGTGTATAGAAGAATCAATTGGAAAATGAAGGTTACTTAGAACATTCAAACTTGACAAGATATCAAAAAGTAAACCCAACTGCGCCATTTTGATCGATTTTTAGCCATATCACAAGAGTTCTCAACTACTGGATCTTACCATATCATAAACCTAAATGGCTCAGACCACTTCAATCGCTGAAAGTTCAAAGACTCATCGACTGACTTGTCTGCTTTGCCTAATATCGTTCGACTTTTCTCGATATTACTAGCATTGTGATTTCATTATATATCAATAATCCTATGAAAACATCTGTGTTCCAAAAACCGCTGTCTCTTCATTTCTTTTACTGTTAACTGTCGTTTGTCACATCCATATGTCAGGAGACAACAAACTGTAATGCAGTATACTCTTCAGAAATCTCTCAAATGGGTATCATAAATGATGCAAGTTTACAAATGCTAAACAGGCCTTTTGTATCCAAGCCACCAGCCTATTCGAGTTGATGTATTCCCCCTAAGCAAGTGAAGTATTCGACGCATTCAACCAATTCACTCTCTATACTTAAACTAGGAGTAGGCGCAGACTAATCCTGTTTCATCATCTTCCATTTAACAAACAATACTAGACAGCGAAGGAAAGTCTAGAAGCGTCACCAACCATCCATTCATCCATCCATGCAAATCAACACAGCACCAGGAATTACTGTGTAACATTCCGAGTTGCCACACCTAATATCAGTACATCAAGTGAAAAGGCAGTAAAGTGGAAGGTGAAGAAAACAAAATTCAGTCAAAAGAAATACAAAGTACGAAAAGAGAGAGAAAGGAAGATGAGAAAATGGTGAGATTCAGTATAGCACTGAGATGGGGATAATGTATGCATACATCTGTGTCACTGACATTAACCAGTTGTGAACCATATCACTTAGAGCCTCTAACTAATGATATCTCTTGTCCCGTGCACCCCTACATGACTCGAACCATCAGTCAAACATCTCATACATTGATGCCATGTTTCGGTCTGACTGAGAACTCGAGCTTTTTCCAGCCTGAGTCTACTTCGGTCAACATTGTGTGATGAGGCAGACGGTGACTAGACATACGTCACACAATGTTGGAGGTAACCAAGTCAGAAGATGAAGATTCCTAACCTCGCCAACTGATTTACCTGTTCTGTCTAAAACTGTATACCTGACTTCTGTGTTACTCACAGGTGACAGCACGGAATACAGTCTGTACTACGAAGGCAATGGTGATGGTCAAACACCTGAAGGCAGCCTTCTCATATCTTTCACCTTTGATGGCCATGTTTCACAGCCATAGAGTAGAACAGAGCGGCGCCACATGTGCCATGAGTTGGCAAAAGCCAACCGAGCCTTTTTTGTAGTCGTGTAGAGATATCATCGACCACTTAGCCACCAGAGATCGTTATCGAAGGCTGCAGAGCCACAAGAAATTGAAGATAAGGTAGTATCATTAATTGAGAGACGTGAAGAAAGATTAGAAGGTAATGATGAGGGAGGTGAATATCCATCTGAACAAACTTGAGTGCTGATAGAGTTGCGAGGGCAGTTGACACTTTCCAGCTGCCCACATCATAGAAGGCTAGTTTTTCTTAAGGTACCTGAAAGAGATTTGTATGACCACAAGCCCATCGGACATCTACTTGAGGCCTGTTACATGTAGCCTTTTGTGTCTGATTGTTTTTAACTTTTATTGTTTTTGAGTTGAGAAACTACAAATAAACCAACACCACCGGCCCGGTAGACTGTGGGGCATGGTGTAGTGTTTTATTTTTTCGCCCGACCTTTGCTAACCCCCTCCCCCTTCAACTGAGAAGGCAGCATCAGTATGACACTGCTGGTCATCCAAGGGAAACACACCTAACTGCTGTCATACCTCATCCAGCTAGCACTAGTACGATATCGCCTTCAGATTCCAATCATAGTGTAGTAATTGACACTACAACAGAATCTGCTTTTCGTCTAACCACTATCTAACAGACCTTTCTGATATGATAGAATCTAGTGAGAGCAAGGTTCGCGACACCAGTATAGCTTGTTGAATCATTGTGAAATGTAATCCCAACCATTATGGTCAAGATAGCAAATTATCGGTTAAGACTAACCAGTTATAAGTTGATTACTAAGACCAATGAGGCACAAGGTTTCAGCCATCTAAAACATGATGAACTTTATAATCCTAAAAAAGAATAAAACTAACAATTTCCCAGTATCATAATGATATTATTTTAGAGAAATAAGTGAAACCGAATAAAAATGCTTAAGTAGAAAAAAAGGAGAAACTTACGATTGTGATTGTGATTCATTTAAAATATTTGCCTGATAAAAATATGATATACAATGAAGTGCTGTGGCTTGAAGAAACGGGTAATCTATAATATATATAAATATAATAGAAAAATAAGGGGGGGGGATAAGAAGATAAGTTTTAGATAAAGTACTACCTTTGCACAAATAATTTCTATAAAATTTAATGAAATTAATTGAATGCAAAAAAATTTAACCTAATTTACACCTTAATAATAAGAATAAGCAACAAGGAACTCTGGTTGGCTGGCTGGCTGGCAACGAACCAAGAACACATCAACCAACAAATATACAGAAGGATGTGGAAATGGATTGATCATACACTGAGAAGACCATTCAGGGACATCATGCTCCAGGCTCTCGAGTGGAACCGCATAGGAAACGACAAGTTGGGCGTCCCACCTGAGGTGACATGGAGGAGATTGTGTGAGGAAGAAATGAGACGTTCTGGGTAGTTATTAAGCTAGGTTCAAAAGTTTACAGAGAATAGAGTGCACTGGAGATGTGCTACTAAGCCATATGTTCCATTAGGAACCCAAGAGACAAATAATAACAATAATAATTCATCATGAACTGACATCAGTAGAGGAACCAATGAAAATCTGGAAGCACTAGACAGCTGTTTCGTCTCAAAAATGCATTACTGTATAGTGCTCATTAGTGACTTGCTTGCGGATGGATATCATGAAGCTCTAATGAGAATTCATGACCTATGGGGTCAACCAGTCGGAAGTCAACTGGATGCTAACTGAAGACTTTGGGTGATTAGTCGAGCTATGTTGTGAAATGACAGAAGTGGGAAATTATGAACAACTGGAAACCGACACAATGACTGAATGGTTAACGCGTTCACCGTGATACCTGAAATTCCTGAGTTTGATCCCTAACCCGGGTCGTGGGTGCGTACTGCTGAGGAGTCCCATACTAGGACGAAACAGTTGTCCAGTGCTTCCAGATTTTCAATGGTCCCCCAACTGATATCAGTCCATGATGAATACTATTTCTAAATTAAAAAATCCCCACGTATAAAGCAAAAATACAGTACATTAAGGGTTCCAATCTTGCCCCAGTAAGTGTATGATATAAATATATCCACAAGACTAATTTTCATCAGAAGAAAACGTTTCACATAAAGATAATGTCAAGTAACCAGAAGGATATAAAATCACCAAATTAGAATTCTACAAATATCAAGGAGAGTTGCTAGGCAAGCCAATCAGGTGATAATCAAGGCATCCGAAAAAGGCCATATATGTCAATACAAGTCGACCAATTAGATCCAGTATAACGACGGTGAAATTACAAGTAAATAATAACAATAAGGAAAATGCCATATGCCAAGTAATTCACAATGGAAAGCTCAGTGATACCTTTGAAGTGAAGACATGGGGTAAGAGTAAGACAAGGCTGCCGCCTAGTATCACCGATGATATTCCTGACTGTGGTGGACTGAATCATGCAGCAAACAGTGAGGAGCGAGAAGAGGAGCATACCCTGGCTGGACCAATGAAAAGACCCCAGAAGGAGATTTGGATTTCGCCTATGATGGTTTATGTCTAATGTCTTGTCGCACACCCTTGAAGATCTACAGGCAAAAACTAACAAGTTGACAGAAGATGCAGGGCAGTGAAGACGGGACTTCAACTGAATGTAGAGAAGACGGAGATGATGAAGATACCCAAACAACAAAAGCATCAACAACAAGCACCAATCACAATCAACGTGAGAAACTTAATTGAAGTAGTCTCTTTCACCTACCTAGACAGGGCAGCATCATTTCAACTACAGGCGGTGGCACGATGAGGACGTCAAAACCAGGATCGGGAAAGCAAGACAGGCTTTCATTAATCTGAAATCAGTGTGGAGGTCTGTTGTACTACACTCAGTATAAAAAACAAGATCCGGATTTTCAACACCAACATCAACTCGGTGCTTCTCTATGGTTGAGAGAGTTGGCGCATCAGACATTCATTAACAGCTGCCACCTTTGCTCACCAGATACTGCAGATCAGATGGCCAGAAAGGATCAGCAACAAGGAACTCTGACAACGAACCAACCAAGAACCTATCTCCCAACGAATATCCAGTAGAAGAAAGTGGAGATGGACTGGGCATAACACTGAGAAGGCCGATTAAGGACATCATGCACTAGGCCACGCCATCGACTGAAATCCGAAGAGGAAATGACAAGTTGGTCGTCTGAGCTGAGGGTGACATGGAGGAGATCATGTGAGGAAGAAATGAAAGCAGCTTGTATGAAGTCATGCAGCGAGGTTCAAAAGACTTGAGAGAACAGAGTGCAATACAATGTCGTACTGAAGCCTTATGTTCCACTAGGAAACCCAAGGGAAAATATATAAATAAATAAAATAAATAATAATAATAACTAGTACACCCTAGAAAAGGGATGGCTTTCATACCTCAGTGGATAATTCTACACGATTCAAGTGATGGGTGAGGATCTTGAGTCTCAGTATGGTTATTATCAATCAATGAGACTGAAGGTAAATTCAGCTGACAAGTTTCGAATAGAACGAAACGCTAGACATCACTTTAGCATTTTCTAAAAATGGTATCATCTATTTTTTTGTAGATCCATAATCCTTTTAGTTGCTATGAAACATTCCACATCAAAATCTCTTGAATAACTTTGATTCAGTAGTATACACCCATGACACAGCAAGAGAATGAGTCCAATACCATCTAGTATTACGATGAACACGTTAACATTGAGCCAATCGATTGGAATAGAATAGTCTACTCTTACCAATTTACGATATAGCTCAACCATTATCAATCATACTAAAAACTATGCCCGTCAAACAAGAAGTGGCTATCGTGGCTCAGTGGTGTAATGGATAACGCCCTGGTGTTTTAAACGATCGCTCCTGAGTCCCAATCCCAGTGAGCACAACATCAATCACTGGGAAGCAAGTACATCCAGCTGACTAGTGAGTCCGAAATAGGATGAAATGCGCATCCTGTATTCCACTGCTAGCCATGATCCATCATTAACATTTCAGCAATAGTCTCTAATCAGTGATTCTTAAAACTGCAAGAACTCCTCCCTTCTTACATGACTTCAACCAGCAACAAGTTTCTTATAAGACCAGTGACACATATTTATTTGATACTGAAAGATGATTGAAGGTGAAATGAAAAGCTGAATCACGGTAGGATTTGAACAAGTGATCATTGGACTTAACCGCTATGGTGCTCCACTAATTGACTTACGAGACTTGACTAATGATCAGAATTTTATTTTACATCAATCATCAAGGGTTTTGCTCGACTTCTATGCGAATTCATAACATGTTACTATTGCTTGATAATAATCAAACTGGTTGTTCAATCAGAACTTCAAATACCCAATGGCAATCGAGTAAAATCCTTAGTGATTGAAATGAAATAAAAATTTAATCACCAATCGAGTCTCATAACTTAGTTAGTAGAGGAGAATCCCAGAAACTTGGTAGTTGATAGCCCCCAGATTTCCAATACACGTTCAATCATCACCCATTATCAATACAAGTCTGAAAAACAACAGCTACCAACCTTATCCTACTTCAGTTAATATTGAACGCAAAGGTGAGAAGTGAGTTGATAATACAAATTTAAACCTGAGATACACCAAAAAAACCCACACTCCCCCTGTTTACCAACAAGGAAAAACTGTGAATGTAGACAAATATTCAGTTGATTACCAGTAGGCAGTCAACCCTAATAATGTATCTGCCAATGAGTGAAATGATTCACTGATATTTGGTTAACATAAATGTTAGTTGGTTGATGACAATCAGTAGGAAATCCATCTCCACCTAAGTTTAGTAGTTATTGACACTCGATACCAAGGCGTATCTACAACTTCGACAAAACTGATGTCCAGTGTGAGATTAGAACAGTCGACAAACTTTACCATTGAGCTATTTGCTCCACGACTACCCACCTGAAAGACTACATTACATATATTGATTGGTCAAGAGTTGTAGGTTCAAATCTCAGTGACGTCTAGGTTTCAGATACACCTTACTGACAACTACAAAACCTAAGTCCAGCACTTCCTACCAATCGCCTACAACCAACTAACATCTACTAATGGGTACCACAATGCTGAGCCTCCTAGCTCAGTGGTGACCACATTGCAAATAGGATTCGTCTACACTCAAGATTAGACAACATGAAATTGGTTGCACTCCTGTAACCAATCAATAAGGGGTCAACATAAATTTCTTCAAACAATTTCCAAAGAAGAACAAGTAGGTAATTCAGCAAAGAGTCTCTTTTCGGCGATTTCATTATCAAAGTTGTACAATCACAAATTTATACCCTTTTCTAAAGTAACGACTTGATAGTAAAAGGAAAATGGTTTATCAAATATGCCAGGCAACACAAATAGTGTCTACAATGTGATCAGTTATCAGTGAAATCAAAAAAACTGTGATGAATAGTGAATATTAATCAAAATAAATTTTGACAAGAAGATGTTTCGTAACATGACAATGATATAACTGGAAACTGAATTATGATCAGGTAGAACAACAAGCAACAAGAAAGAAGTAGGTAGTATGAAAACAGAAGAAAAAACAGAGGAGGTGATTTCAAAGACAGAAATTTATCACCATGGAAGGAGAAGGAGTTGAACAATCCTCTTTCACTTGCACACTTGCATATTTCTCCATATGGATGACAAGAGCTTCGGCTATGTAAAGAAAATGAAGATATACAGCCTTTGGAAGGGATCTTTTCAATTTATAGATGAGCTTCTTGAAATAGGGTAATCTGTGTTCACCATGTGAAAAGGACTTCGATAGAGGCGTCGATTGGGAAACAATTTGTCAGCTAGCTGCTTCAACACTATGGTTTTACTGCCACAAACCTTTATCAAGCTCATTCAACATCAGGTATATGCTATATAATGATACTACGTGTCAAGTGATTCACAATGAAAAGCTCAGTGATAAGTTTGAAGTGAAGAAAGGAGTAAGACAAGGTTGACTAGTATCATCACCCATCATCTTTCTGATTGTGGTCGACTCGACTCGATTGGATCATGCAACAATCAACTGTGAGGAGCAAGAAGATGGGCATACACTGGCTGAACCGATGGAAAGAAAGACCCCAGAAGAACATTTGGATTTCACCGGCAATGATGAATAAGTGTTAATTGCCTTGTCGCAGAAACTCGAAAATCTACAGGCAAAAACTAACAGGTTGGCAAAAGAGGCGTGGAGGCGGAGGGCAGTGAAGGAGGAAGGACTTCCTTCAGGTGAATAGAGAGAAGATACAGGTGATGAAGATACTCAACCAACAACAACAAGCACCAATCAACATGTACGAGATGAATCTAGAGAAAGTATTCTCTTCCACCTAACTAGGCAGGGGAGCATCGTTTCAATTACAGGCAGCGGCACACATGACCATGTGGAAGCCGGGATCGGAAAGACAGGAAGAGAGGCTTACATTAATTGGAAATTAGTGTGGAGATCCACTGCGCTGCACTCAGCATAAAGCGTGAACAATATCCGGATTTTCAACATCAATGTCAGTCAAGTAAGGCAGTGCTTCTATGTGATGGTTAACAGACTTGGCCCGTTACGCTCACTAGATACTGAAGATAGAGATGAGATGGTGAGAACAATGAGGATAAGCAAGGAGGAACTCTAGTCTGTCAACAAACCAAGCAAGAACCCAACGCCCGACAAATATGTAGAAGAAGAAAGGGGAGACGGATAGGACTCGACATGACTGAGAAGACCATTTGGAGACATCATGCACTAGGTCAGGCCATCGAGTGGAATCTAAATGGAGAACAACGAGCTGATCGTCTGAGCTGGAGGTGACATGGAGGAGATCATGTGAGGAAGAAATGAAAGGTTGTAGGCAGTGATGGAGCATGGTTGAAGAGACTAGAGAGAAGAGAGTGGAATGGAGGCGTGCTACTGAAGCTCTATGTTCCACTAGGAATCCAAAGTATAAATAATAAGAGTATAAAAAATAATAATGTCTTCAATTAAAGCACTCTTTATCGCTCCATTGTTACCTCTTTGTAACCCCACACGGGATAGTCATCTTCAACCCTTTTCGATAACAGTTCCATTGAACGACCTATATACCTACCTGGCTGGCTCCACAGGAACCGATGAATTCATATAAGCACACGGAGGTGGTCAGATGAGAAAGTTTCTTCTTCGAGTTATCAGAAATCGTTGGGCAACAAGAGAATACTAGTCTTAGCCTTGATACAATGAATGTCCTCCCTTAGAGCATTTGATATCCTCCTTTTTGGAGTCTCGGAGGCAGAATCACCTTTCAAGTTGAGATTTATATAGAATATCTTTTTTGGCACAGTGATTAGGTTCTCTTTGCGAGGTTTCAGCTTGATGTTTTGTCTATAAAGGATGGTGGGAATCCGTTTTCAATCAGGATGTTCTCTAGAACAAAATTTTCTCATCTACCATATCGAGACTACAGATTCGTCTAATACGAGTAATAAGAGATAAGATCAGATTTCGCTTATGACTGACTCAAAAAGATCCAGGTATTAAAGTTCATCAGTTGACCATTCCGCATTGGTTTTCTGTGATCTATTTTGTTTCATCAGCTGTCCATGTCAACTGTATATCAATAAAGTGAATTCCCAATTCATTTTCGATCCCAAGAACAAAAACCAAGAACATTTAGGTTTCACGGCTAGTCTTTTAACTATTCAATCACCGGGTCAATGTCCAATGGTCTATAATTTCCTACTCATGTCAATATTTCAAGAGATTGTGACTAGCCCACCAAGATCTTTAGCCGGCATTCACTTCATTTCCGATTAGGTGACCCCATAATTATGTAACCTAGAAGTATTTAAAGTTGTTATTCATCATAGGAAACCTGGGAGCACTGGACAGCCAGCTGTTTCGTTCTAGTATATGGCTCCTCAGCAGTGCGCACCCACGACCCCACACTCCATGGATCGAACCAGCGGTCATCAGGTTCCGTGACCAGTACGTTGCCATTGAGCCACTGGGTCACAATCCAATCGTCCATATTTCCAACTTCTGTTAGCTCATGACATAGTGCAACCATCACCCAATGTCATCATTGAGTAACTGTCCACACGACCATCAAGCTTTGCCCTTACCGGTCACGACTTCTCATTGGGATTTCGGAAATCACCTCTCGAAGCTAGTCACCAATAAACACCAGTTCAATTGAACTTTGATAGAGTTGTAGGGATTTGGAAATATTTCAAGTTGTTATTCATTGTAGACTGACATCAGTTAAAGGAACAAAGGATCACAATTAAATGTCAAAATAAGTCAAACATCAGTACACCAGTAGTATACACTTACCATTCTGTCCTAAACTTGGCTTAAGATATCGTGTATAAAATAAATCAAATTCAAGTAGATATGAATTGGTGGTAGTATTCTTGACAATTTGATAAGTATTTTTTGTAGATACTGTGAATATATTCACAGAATTTGAAGCTAAAATTCCACATATATATAGACTAGCTTCAAGTAATTTCCACCTATAAAATAGACAATAAAGGGGTAAAGGCTTTCAATAATTAAAAAAAAGTCACATTAAAATTATATAGCTTACAATAAAGTGAATTATTCCTTCTAGAAAAAAACATATTTTTCTTATTTCTTCTCAGATTCACCCCTTCACAATGAATACAATTACTTCTCATCACAATCCATGAATGTAACAATCATTTGTAACCAGACATTGTTGTATAATATGAACAAATGGATAGATAAGTGAACCAACATGAAACCCTGGTATAAACGTAAATCTGTTTAAGTTGTCATACTTTAAAGTACAATACAAAGAATAAGTGAACTCATAAAGTTGAAGAGGATATAAAATGATTGATTTGTTCCTCTGTACTATTGGTAGCGTGTGAAATGTTGACACTTCCCAGCTTCCCATACCATGGAAAGTTAGATCTTCCTTAAGGTATCTGAAAAGGAAAAAGAGATTTATGTGACCGCAGAGCCCATGAGACCATTTGTAGGATATTGTTCTGAAGTTTGGTTGTTCAAACGCCGGATATAGAAAACCCAAATCGCGCGCACCAGAAGACCGGTTTTTTTTCAATCTCACCTCCATCCCATTTAGAAGGCATTATCGGTGTGGCACTTAACCCTCGGACTCCCATTATTTACACTACAATGGTAACAGCCTTCATCTTACCACTATCTAACAGACCTTGGTGGAATGGTAGAACCTCGAAGGAACAAGAGTTCCACCACTATAGCCCTGTTATGCAAGTTCGACCACTACGTCAAGGTAACAGCTTTCGGCCGGGAACAAGTGGCCACATAAAGAATGCTGAAGTACATGAGAAGAGAGAGAATAATTAGATGATGGTTGGTGAAAATATTCAACACACCGAAGATGATCAAGAGTGCACACACCGCTTATTGTGACTGATTTTGACCCATCTCACTAAGAGTCTCCAGCTATTCATTCCCACCATCTCTGAGACCCCAATCAGACAACTTAAACATTCCTACACGATTTAGACCAAAAGTCAGAGATTGCATGGACGGATAACCCGTTTCTGTCTGGTCTCTCTCAGCCTTCATCCAACCCAAACCTATATCGGTTAACATTGGAAGCAGCTGGTGGCTTGACATATACAAAACACATCCAAAACAACTCAGTTGGTAAAGTAAATGTCCAAAACCTCATCCATTGACTTACCTTTGTATGCCTAACCAACATTACTCACACGGTGATCCCAACATGTGCGAGCAATTTTACCAAGACACCTATGATCAAAACCCTGTAAAAAAAATCACATCCTCTACATTTAACAGCCATATCTTACAGCTTCACGACAGGATAGAGCCGACTATAGAGTACTATACTCAACGTTTGATAGATAATCGAAAACGTCACTGATACCAGAGATAACCTAAGTTGGGAAATACCACACAACCCTTTTGCATTCAAGCTGAGATCTCGTCAGTAACCAACAAATTCGGATTACTACAACTCCCAAGGAAGTGAAGTGTTCGCCACCTTCAACCATTTCACCTTCCATCCTTAAGTTACGAGTTGGTGCAGACCAGTCTTCAAGCACCACTCCACACTTGATAGATACAAAACGTATGAAAAATATACTCAGGATTTTGGCTCACGGTTTTCAGAAAATCTTGCATTTCTTTCAAAGTCTATACCCAGTAAAACACTGTTTCTTGCGCGCTCCATGTGAACTAGGCACTCTCCTGGGTAAAAAGCCAACCTTTAAGATGTCGACGGCACATACAGTTATACGAATTGGTTGAACAAGGATGGTGATAGTGGATATCCTTGAAGGGCAGCATTGGTTGATGTTACTTCAGAAGATAACCCCGTACCAATTCTTAGGTAGCTGTATGATTTCAAGTAGAGAGCATTGAATAGCGTTATATTCCTGGTGGATGCTGCCTTACAGTCAAAAGCTGTCACAAAGCCCCGCGGTCAACAGAGTAAAGTACCAGTTTCGAATCGAGAAATTTAAAATTTACCGCGGTAGGTATGCCTGTTGCAAAAGGTGAAGATCGATCTGCTCTTGCTTGTACAGCTCTGAAACTCACCTGGTCTCCTCGAATTTGTTGTTCTTGAGTTTCTGCTGGAATCTTATCTGGTTATCAAACGAAGATTTCTCTCCTTTCTAGAAAACTAAACTGTTCAGAGATTTAGACAAGCCTGAGGAGCCTAACTCTGATTCCCATACACTATCATGTTGTCTTGTCTTGAATACACATCGAATCATATTGATTATTTTTGTAAAATGGCCATCGACATGAAACTGGTTGCTCTCCTGTGACCAATCAATGTATGTAACTCGATCCTACAGAAGGTTAATCACAGCCCGAATAGCTCATTCGTAACATCACTGAATGTAAGACTAAGTGACACAGGTTTGAATCTTACGCGGGAAATCAGTTCTGTCGAAGATGCAGATACGCCTTGCTGACGAGTACTAACAACCACGGAACCTATATGGTTCAGGGCTTCCTACCAATTACCTTCAACTAACTAATGAAAACAAACCATTTGAAACATCCATACGAAAGTGGAGTATGAGTTACTGGTATAGACATTGAAGCCTTAATTAGTAAATTACTCCAAATGATTGCCAGCACTGGATACGTTCAAAGCTGTAAATAACTCTCCATTTGCCTAGGCTTGAATTAGAATTCAATATACACTCACCACAGTCATCCTTGTGGAGCTGTGGTTCATTGGTTAGGAGAGATGAGTTTCAAACCAGGGGGTTACGGGGTTCGAACTCCACTCCACCAACCCTGAACTGAATGATATGCCTATGTCATCAATGTACTTACAGCAATATTCAACCCCTAAAAGAAGATCCACAGAGATCCTAGATACAACTCAAAGTTACACAATAAGCCTAAGCATTCTCCACTTTATATTTGATTAGAGTCAGGATTATTGCCTACAACTTCGTGGATCAATTCATACTGGTATACCGGAGATTGGATAGTGAGTGTACGAACTCAGCTAACGAATCTAATCTAGGAATGATATCAGGAGCTTAAAATGTACCTGATAATTGGAAATGATAATGTAACACTAAACGAACTGAATGAAAATCTACTCAGTAACCTTTTACACGTTTATGTAGTAGGTAGTGAGCTGGTCAAACCTCAATAGGTAGAGCGGTGTTCAAACCCACGACACAATAATGAAAGTTATTCCTCTGGACCAGTGGACCACAGCTCTACACAAATGGTAGCAAGTGCATGGATTGAAAAAGAATTATATGTAGCCAATGACGAAAGAAGGATAGATAACCTACCAGTATGGTACACCTTTGTTATTTAAATCTTCTGAAAGTGCTAACATCTTGTTAACAGAACGATTTATAAATTGAATGCCATTAGGAACATTGGATGCAATTTTCTACAATAGAATAAAGTGAGGAATAAAATACAGTTATAGTATCATACACTGTTAGCTTGGCTCAACGACTACTGTTGCTTTATATTTTCTAGGATATTATTTACACTACTGAATAAGGTAACAAGTAGTCAGAGACTTCGTTAGTAAAACAAAAAAAGGCTTGAAGAACGGAAATTTTTATACTGTTTTTATGTTATATCGCTGACTACCAACCTTCAAAATTTAAAAAAAAACATAATTAAACTACATTCATTGACACTATCAAGTAGTAAAATACTGCTTTATTGATATAGAGATATGGATATCAGGTCAAACTTCAGTGGGTAAAACAATTGACTATCTTCCCAATTGTTTTTTGGCATTCCTCAACAATCATATACAAAATAACTTATGATCAAGTGGATTTCATGTTTAACATTCTGTATATGAATAGTAACATACAAGCGAATACTCTTCAAACATTTGCCAATCATTCGATTTCAAGGTGATATGAAGGTTGTCATTCTTTAAGCGTAGAAAGTTGAAATTTTGTTGTCAAACCGACTTCGTGTAAATTGTTGACAGAAGTATTTCAACGGAGATAGATGTTAGCATGAAGTCAGCAATTTATGATTTTATGAAACGGAGATACAATAATCCGAACCATTCTGCTTGATTGTATGTCATTTCGTTTAATATTCGTAGCTTAGATGTTTTAAAAACAGAATCCAATGTACTGAACCTAAACTTGTCTATATGTTTGTATGTAATAATTGTAGTCTTCTGTCGCTATATTATTATTATTTGTCCCTTGGGTTCCTAGTGGAACATACTGCTTCAGTAGTACGTATCCAGTCCACTCTCTTCTCTGCAATCTTTTCAACCTGGCTTCACCACTGTCCACAAGCTCTCATTTCTTCCTCACACCATCTCCTTCATGTCACCCTCACCTCAACGCCAGACTTGCCGTTTCCATTTCGGCTTCCACTCGAGTGACTGGTGCGTGATGTCCCCAATGGGTCACTGCCACTGTATTCCCAATCCTATCCATCTCCACTTCCTCCCAGTGCATATTTGCTGAGCAATAGATTCTCGCTTAGTTGCCAGCCAGCCAGAGTTCCTTGTTGCTTATTCTCATTATTCTGGTCATCTGAGCTTCAGTAACGAACCAGCGTAGGCGGCAGCTGTTGATGAATGGCTGTAGTTTGTTGGAAATGCCTTTCGTTATGCGCCAAGTTTCTGAACCATCATATAGAAGCAATGACATGACTGAACTGGTGTTAAAAATCCGGATATTGTTCACACTTTATGCTGAGTGCAGAAGATCTCCACACCGATTTCAGGTTAATGAATGCCTGTCTTGCTGTCTTTCCGATCCTGGCTGGCTTTGATGTCATCGTCTGTGTCGCAGTCGCCTGTAGTTGAAACAGTGCTTCCTAAATAAGTGAAAGAGGCTACTTCCTTTAAGTTTCTCCCACCGATGGTGATTGGAGCGTGGTGTTGTTCATAGTGGTGGTGGTGTTGTTGGTTGAGTATCATCGTCACCTCTGTCTTCTCTACATTCACTTGAAGTCCTGCCTTCACTGGCCTGCCTCTTCTGTCAACTTGTTGGTTTTCGGCTGTAGATCTTCAAGTTTGTGTGAAATTAGACAGAAGTCATCGGTGAAATCCAAATCTTCTAGAATCTATTCCCTGGTCCAGTGTATCCCCCTCCTTTCGCTCCTCACTGTTTGTTGCGTGATCCAGTCGACCATAATCAGGAAGATCGTGGGTGATAGTAGGCAGACTTGTCTTACTCCCGTCCCGTGTCTTCACTTCAAAGGCGTCGCTGAGCTTTCCATTGTGGATCACCTGGCATGTGGCCTTTTCATATGGCTGTTGAATGAGGTTGATAAACATTTGTGGCAACTGTCAAATTACTCCTCGGTCGACGCTGTCAAAGGCCTTTTCAAATTCGATAAAGTTGATGTAGAGAGTTGACTGATCGATGGTAATAATCGAAGGTAAAATGTACTTATGGATTGCGACAGGACTCAAATCACTGACATCTCGGTTATCAGTAGGATTTTCTATGAAATGCTGGCTAGGCAATCAATAATAATCTCATTGGGATCAAACTAGTGCAAGTCAGGCAATCAATTTCATACTAAAGGTCGAATATACTTCAAAGTGGTTCGATTGCCCTATTATACAGTTGTGAAATGTTATCATGACAAAGTTGAAGGACTTTGAAAGACTCTAACACGTATGAATGCCGTTGCCTTTGTGGTAATGTCTTTATGTCATAGAGTTATAGTGTGAGTGATATGGAGATCATCCATTTGGTCTTAGATAAGAGAGGAAAGTCAGTTGGTGCGCTTCACCGATTGAGATGTCTAGGAGATGTATCATCTTTACATTATAGAGATGTAGCTGAGCGGTTCAATAAGATGAAAATCAGCCAGTGGGTCACGGATTCGAACCTGCCCAACTTGCCGAGGTTTCGGCAGATAAGTAGTATCCCTAACTCTCACACAATAGGTGTATCTCATTGTCTATAGTGTGGATGTGCACAACAGTGAAACGATAGTTACCAAGAGTAAGTAGATGAATCAGGAGTAAACTATTGAAGATTTATCGGGCTCATTGTATCAAGTGAAGTTATAACATCATTCAAACTAGACAACTTTCCGACTCTTGTGATGTCCAACTATATTTGTCAATTCATATGCACACGTGGAAATAAGTACATAGAAAGATGTGATTGTCGTTATCGTTTCATCATTATCGTATATGTTATTATTAATATAATTTATCTCATTTATTTACCACTTGGATAAGAAAATATCTTCATGTGATTACGTAACCGGTCCAGCTTATTTTGAATCGTATCACAGGTATAAGTGAACATTCCTCACCTTATTATTATTACTATTACTCTCTTGGGTTCCTAGTGGAACATACGGCTTCATTAGCACATCTTTATTGCACTCTCTTCTCTGTAGTCTTTTGAACCTGACACAACGACTGTTCACAAGCCATTTTCACTTCTTCTTCACATGATCTCCTCCATGTCACCTTCAGCTTAGATGACCAACTCATCGTTTCCATTTTGAATTCCACTTGACGGTCTGGCGCGTGATCTCCTCACTGTATACCCAATCTATATCCATTTTCCTCTACTACATATTTGTTCAGCGATAAGTTCTTGCTTCATTGGTTCATCGTCAGCCAGAGTTCCTTGTTGCTTACTATTTCTGGCCTTCTGATTCGATCTTCAGTATCGAGTCAGCGTAGGCGGCAGCTGTTGATGAATGTGTATAATTTGTTGGAAATACTTTTCGTGACACACCAAGTTTCTGAACCATTACATAGCAGCACTGACTTGACATTGGGGTTGAAAATCCAGATCTTGTTCACGCTTTATGCTGAGTGCAGTAGATCTCCACACTGATTTCAGATTAGTGAAAACCTGTCTTCCTTTTTCGATCCTGGTTGCTGCGACATCTTCATCTGTGCCGTCACCTGTAGTTGAAACAATGCTACATAGGTTGGTATAAGTGAAATAGACTACTTCCTTTAGGTACCTCTCGTTAATGGTGAATGGTGTCTCTTGTTATTGATGCTGTTGTTGGTTGGGTATCTTCATCACCTCTGTCTTCTTTACATTCATTTGAAGTCCCGTTTTCGCTGCCTTGCCTCTTCTGTCAACTTGTTAGTTTTCGACTGAAAATCTTCAAGTTTGTCTGACAAGACATTAAACATACGTCACCATCAGCGGCGAAATCTAAATCTTCTAGGGTGTTTTCATCAGTCCAGCTAGAGTATGCCCATCTTCTTGCTCCTCACTATCACCACCACCACCACAATCAAGAAGATCATTGGTGATAGCGAGCAGCCTTGTTTTACTCCTTCCTGCCTTCACTTCAAAGGCATCACTGAGCTTCCCATTGTGAATTACTTGGCATGTGGCATCTTCATATAATTGCTGAATGAGGTTGATAAAGATTTGGGGTATTCCGTAGTGTTGAAGCAGAAGTTGCCAAATTACTTCTCGATCATTCCTCATCTTACCTAGGTCTTATTGAATATTATTGATATAGTTTAAGATTGATCAAGATTGATCATTTTTAAGTCAGAATTCATCATGGATCAACATCAGTTAAGCATATCTTCATCCTCTTAAGAAATGAATCTTCCTTCTGAGATTCGAACTCGGGGATACAATTGTTATATCTTCTGAAAATGATTCATTTCTTTGCACAATTATCCTTTAGTAATCTTCTATGATATTAATAAATGAGAAACAAGAGTTTAGGTAGGATGAAATGAAACATGACTTGAAAATTTTACTAACTTTAATCAAATCCATAGTGACCAAGCGAACAGAATAGGCGAAAAACTCTTCAGAATCGACAATATATTCAGAAATATTATTTGTCCAAGTTTCCAACTGTATTTATTTCATAATATATAATAATAATAACAACATCAAATAAATAGGATATTATCAAAACCGAAAATAGGCTACGGCTTGAATAAAAAAAATTATTGTTAACATGAAAAAACCATTTTCTTCAAGATGAATCTGAGATTTCAGTGACGAAAGGATATTTCATCCTGATCATCATCAGTATTAACACAGGACCAAGCGTTATGTCCAACGTCAAGTTAATGCTTCTATATGGTTCAGAAAGTTGGCATGTCACGAAAAGCATTTTCAACACACTATAGACCTACATCAACAACTGCCGCCGCCTATGCTCACTTGATACTGAAGATCAGATCAGATGGCCAGAATAATAAAAATAAACAACAAGGAACTCTGGTTGGCTGGGGACGAACCAACGAAGAACCTATCACCCAAGAAATATGCAGTACAAGAAAATGGAAATGGATTGAATTGGGCATACACTGAGAAGGCTGATTGGGGAGACCACGCGCCAGGCCAGGCTGTCGAGTGAAGCCCAAAGATGAAACGACGAGTCGGTAGTCTGAGCTGAAGGTGACATGGAGGAGATCATGTGAGGAAGAAATGAAAGCAGCTTATGGACAGTCATTGCGCCAGGTTCAAAAGACTGCAGAGGACAGTGTGCAATGGAGATATGCTATTGAAGCGCTATGTTCTACTAGGACCCAAGGGACAATAATAATAATAAGCGTTACGTCCACGTTGGCATACACACACACACACCTCATATCAACAAAGAAAAATTAGTCACAAGCAGTAGAAAGTAGCAAAAGGGAAGAAGAAGATGAAAAGGGGTTGAATTTAGTATAGCGGTTAAGATGCTTGGATACATCTGGCTCACCGACATCGATTCTGAGAGATATCATCTACAGCCTCCAACCATTGGTTTCCGTTCTTTTGAGGACGCCAACCAATTAGTCGGCATCTCCTTACACGTCTCAGATCAATATTCGAAGACTTCACCCAATAACTCTATGTTTCAGTTTGGATACGCTCAACATTTTTATAGCCTTAACCTATTTGACTTACATTATACGACAAAGCAGATGGTGACTAGGCATGCATAACATCAGCTTACTTCTCTCCTCTGCCTAAAATGTACATCTGGCTTGTGTGTTACTGGTGCAGTGACAAGACAAAACATGGTGGTCAAACATTTGAAGTCTTCGTATATCCTCTCCCTTTAAAAAGTTATGTTTCATATGAATATAGAGTAGAACAAACAGAACTGCAACTCATGACAACTCGTCTTGAATAGGCGATTAAATATCTCGACAGCGCGATAGATGGTTTAATTTGACAAAAACTAATCGATTTTTTTGGATCTGTGCAAAAACTTCATCGACTATTGACGCTATCAGGGTTAATCCCACTTTCTAGGTAAGTGAAGTGGCCAATGCGGTTGGTTGGCGATAAACACATCCCAATAATTGAATTTTGAGGGAGTTGTGAAGATTTGGAAGTATTTCAACTTGTTATTCATCGTAGACTGACATCAGTTGGAGGAACAAAGGAAACCTGGGAGCACTGTACACCTGCTTCTTCCCAGAGGGGGACTCATCAGCAGTGCGCACCCACGACCCCAGCCTCCATGGATCGAACCCGCGATCATCAGGTTCTGTGGACAGTACGTTGCCATTGAGCCACTGGGTCACAATCTAATCGTCCATATTCCCAACTTCTGTTAGCTCACGATATAGCCCAACCGCCACCCAATGTCGTCGTTGAGTAACTGTCCTCACGACCATCAGGCTTTGACTCCACCGGTCACGACTTCTCACTGGAACTTCAAGAATACCTGTCGAAACTAGTCACCAATGAGCACTGCTAAGGAGTCCCATACTAGGACGAAACAGCTGTCCAGTGCTCCCACGTTTCCTTTGTTCCTCCAACTGATATCAGTCTACGATGAATAACAACTTGAAATTTCAACTATTCTCAAATCATCATCCAATGTATCCACCAAACAGGATTATGTTGTCTGCTTGCTCTAGATCTATCAAGGATTCATCTGTGGTTGGATCGATTGATGTGTAGTTAGTTGGACAACAAGAGGGAGACATCCATAAGATAATCTATGGTAAAATTGAATAAGAATGGATAGATATTTATGCGATACAGATACGAAACATCGTCTCGATAACAGGAATTGATGCGTTAAATAGAACATCTTCAGATAGTATTCATCATGCAATGACATCAGTTGGAGAACCATTAAAAATTTGGAGAACTGAACAGCTGTTTCGTTCTAGTATGAAACTCCTCAGCGGAACGCGCCCACAACCTGCCTAGGAATAGAACTCAGTATCTCTAAGTTTCGTGATGAACACGTTAACCATTCAGTCACTGGGTCAGATTTCAATGATTCACAGTTTCCAACTTCTGTCAATTCACAATATAGTGTGACTATCACCCAAAGTCTTCAACTGGCAGCCGCTTGTCCTCCAGATACAACATTTAACTTGTCCCTTACTACAATGATGCTAAGCCCATCATCTTCTACATTTATATCGTTATTCTTAATGTACTTATTTACTCAACTCCCTTGCGTATTCTTTGTCCAGTTCAATGGGCGAACGAGAAGTCAATTTGTTTAAACTAACTACTACGGAACGGAGGAACACACACAGCCTCAAACTGTATATTCGTGCAGCAGGCAATGAACCATATCTCTTGTATGAGGGCTAACGATAATACTACCCGGCTACCTGAAACTCGGTGGGTGAGGCAGAGGTCGAACCCATGATCCAACGGTTGATAATCATCTCCCTAAACCAGTGAACCACAGATCTATCTAGGACAGTATGCAACTCGATAGCAAATATGGCTTAGGTTCGAAACCAGTGGAAATCACGCCGAAGCTTACACCTACCTTATACTCCTGAGAAGTAAAATCATAGTAAATACTTCAATGGATCTAGTTCTACAATTCTTTCTTTCATAATCCATTTCACTCTCTTTTCGTTCTTTCTTCATTTCCACCCTCCACATCACTTTTAGGCCTTACTAATTATGACACATTATTTTGTATAGCACATTTCTTGGTATCCTCCTCTTAAAACAAAAATAACAATTACAGGCAACCATTAATCAATATACCAATCAAGAACCTATCACCCAACAAATATGCAGTAGAAGGAAGTGGAGATGGACTGCATTGGGCATACACTGACAAGACCGACTGTGGACATCACGCGACAAACCGGGCACTCGAGTAGAACCCAGATGCGAAACGACGAGTTGGGCGTCCCACCTGAGGGTGACATGGAGGAGATTGTGTGTGAGGAGGAAATGAGAGCTTGTGGGCTGTCGTGGAGCCAGGTTTAAAAGATTTCAGAGAACAGAGTTCATTGAAGACGTGCTACTGAAGCCCTATGTTCCATTAGGAACTCAAGGGACAAATAATAATAATAATGCTGTAATCAGTATAATTGTTTTTATATCATACCGTCGTTGATTGAACCGAATTGATTAGTTTCTATTGGCATATGGGCTCCTGTGCGGATGCCTCGATATTGCCTGTGTTCTAATTATATTAATGATGGATCGTGGCTAGCAGTGGAATCCAGGATGAGTATTTCGTCCTATTTCGAACTCGTCAGCTAGATCCATCATTAGTATAATTAGAACGCTGGCAATATCAAGGCATCCTCATAGGAGCCTATATGCCAATAGAGACCGATCAATTCGGTTCAATCAACGACGGTATGATATAAAAACAATTATACTAAAACTATACCCGTCTCACAAGAAGTGGCTATCGTGGCTCGGTGGTGTAGTGGATAACGCCCTGGCGTCTGAAGCGATTGCTCCCGAGTCCGAATCCCGGTGGAAACAACATCACTACGCATTGGGGAGCAGGTACATCCAGCTGACTAGTGAGTCCAAAATAGGACGAAATAGGCATCCTGGATTCCACTGCTAGCCACGATCCATTATTAACCTTGTAATCAACTGGGTGGGTGAAGTTGTGCTGGATTGGACAACACACTAGACTATAAACCGACGAGTCAAATATACGAACGGTACACCACCCTACCGAAAATTTTGTGGCTAGTTGGTTTCATTACCCTGTTTGTAAAAAAAAACGTGTGGCTCATCGCCTATTGCACAAACCCGCTTGTGCTTACTGTGTTACAATCCGGGGATTTTTATAAACCTTGACACAAGTGTCGGTCATCATTAACCTCAGTTATCTAAGGATAAATTTAGTGCCGATAGAACTGTAAGAACGTTTAACACTTCTCAACTTCCTATACAGTGGAAGACGATTTCTTCTCGAGGTACCTGAAAAACAAAGGTTAGCAATTTACCGCAGAGCTCAAGAGACATCAGCTTGAGGTCGGTCATGCATAGGCTCTTTGCAAGTTTCAAATTTTGATTCATCAGTTTGGAAGCCGATTATGAACCTAGGTCACCGTTTATTAGGGATGAGAGCATCAGCGAGACACAGCTAGTCATCCAAGGGAAACACCTAACCCCTGTTATACCTCAGCCAGTGAATAGTACGACTTCACCCTCAGACCTCCATCATAGTGAAGTAATTTACATTGCAACGTTAACTGCCTTTCGTCTAAAATTATTATTCAACAAACCTTTCTCGCATGGTAGGACCTCGTTTCAGTCAGTATAGTTCGTTGGGTTATTGTGATATGGAAGCCCGACCACTACGTCAAGGTAGTAGCTGTCGGTCGGATACACTAAATTGTTAATCCTGAAAAGCGAAAGAATACGATCTTTCAATTTATTTCACAGCAGTGTATCAGCCCATTCTTCACAATAAACACATAACCAACCCAAATTGACACAGTATGGCTGGGATGTAAAATTACAACGGTAAAATGCAGACTGTAGAATAGAAAAGATGTTAGGAGCTGTCGAAATTTTGGCACTAATACTATGACAACATTAGCTAGTATTCAATTAACTACACTATACGCATTAGATTAGGTGTTAGCTAAATAAAAAGTCCGCGATGAAACATCCCACACCGATCCTCGATGAAAACTAAGATATTGAGATCAATTATATGGATCCAATAGACATTACAATCGGCTTCAAGGGCTCGGTAGCTAGATCAAGGTGATACAAATACCATACAGAAATTTCGCCTGCTAAGAAGCGAGTTCACCATTGATGTAGTCGAATTCTTCAATTCAACTTTCTAAGCTACACAGGTGATCAGCTGGGCACAACAAAAATGAAACTGTTGTCCAGTGTTTAGACCACCATGATCTTAATTGGATGGAAGTAATCGATAGAAAGCTATGGATCAAAGTTTTTTATGTACTAGCACTCATCAATAGCGTACATCCTTAACCTCGACAAAACTGATGTCTCCCTTGAGATTCAAATCTATGTCACCTATTGCTGCAATCGAAGACGTTACCACTGAGGTGTTCCGGTAGTAACAGATAGACAAAACCAAAGTAGAACCTCGCACACAAGCTCATCACTATCTCAAGTTGCCACACTTCATAGTAGTACACAAAGAACAGGTGGATAAAAAAAGGAGTGATATAAAAGAGATAAAGTTGTATGAGAGAATGACTGGTGTCAAGTCTTCGTCTGGCAACCCTGAACCTTCCTTCTAACCTAATCCAACTTACTCTAGCATACCACATTGAGGTAGGCGGTGGTTACGCGTGTGCAGTAGATGCTCAAGCCATATCAGTCGATTAAGGTTCATAGCCTCATTTAATCGACTTGCCTGTCTTACCTAGTACCCTTCTTAACATTCTTCACACATTGATTCCACTAATTATTATTATTATTATTTGTCCCTTGAGTTCCTATTGGAATATACGGCTTCAGTAGCACGTCTCCAGTGCACTCTGTTCTCTGCAAACTTTTCAACCTCGCTCCACGACAACCCAGAAACTCTCATTTCTTCCACAGACGATCTCCCTCATGTCATCCTCACCTCAGATGCCAAACTCGTCGTTTCCCATGCGGGTTCCACTCGAGTGCCTGGATTGTCGCGTGATGTCCGCAGTCGGCCTTCTCAGTGTATGCCCAATCCATCTCCTCTTCCTTCTACTGCATATTTCTTGAGCGATATATTCTTGCTTCATTGGTTCATCACCAGCCAGAGTTCCTTGTTGCTTATTCTTATTACTCTGGCCATCTGAGCTTCAGTAACGAGCCAGCGTAGGCGGCAGCTGTTGATGAATGTCTGTAATTTGTTGGAAATGCTTTTCGTAACGCGCCAAGTCTCTCAACCATCACATAGAAGCACTGACTTGATGTTGGTGTTGAAAATCCGGATCTTGTTCCACATGCTGAGTGCAGTAGATCTCCACACTGATTTCAGGTTAATGAACGCGTCTTGCCGTCTTTCTAATGCTGGCTGGCTTTGACGTCCTTGTCTGTGCCGCTGCCTGTAGCTGAAACAGTGCTGCGTAGATAGATGAAAGAGGCTACTTCCTTTAAGTTTCTCCCGTTAGTGATGATTGGAGCTTGTTGTTGTTGGTTGGTTGGTTGATTCCACTAAACGCAACCAATATTACGATAGATACCTGTGATTAAAAGCTTATAACCTCTTCATTCCTTCTACGATTAACGCTTATATCTTACAACCAGATAATGGAATAGAAGAGACTGTAGTGTAGTATCTATTTGATTGATAGTCAGATGGTAGTTAAGCACCATTCTAGGTTCACCAATGTTCATCATAACTAATTCGACAGTGTAGAAACATGGTAGTTAACACTATTTATTGAGAAACAATTATAAGATAAAGTATAACTGATAAATACAATTGATAGCTTACAGTTTTCTCTGGAAGTTGAACAAATTGACATATTTCAAAGCATATATCATCAAGATATTTGATCATTACATTTCTCCGTTTTGATGAAATAAGACTATTTAAACATTCTAAGATACTGTAGACAAATGTATCATAATCTAATACTTCACCTAAACAAATGAGATAAAAATAATAATGTTGATTAACATGAAACTACAAGACGGGGGGGGGGGGAGGGGAGGGGAGAAGTGGGGCTAGCTGTAATTAGATTAAACATTCCTTTATGATTGATTAACGTTCACAACCTCATCAATCGACTTGTCTGTCTATCCTTCTACCCATTGTCTGACCTCAATATTGGTCACACGGTAACGCGAGCAATGCTACGAAGACACCTGTGATCATAGCCGTATAACAAAACAGAGCGGACTGCAGCTGAGTATACTCATTCTTTAGCAGGTATTTGAATATCTCACCAGCGCCAGTAATGATGCCACGTGGCAAATGTCAGACAAGCCTTTTCTTATCCAAGCTTAGACTTTAACAGAAAGCAACCCTTTCGGACTGATGCAACTCCCCAAGTAAGCGAAGTAGTCAACACATTCCATCACTTCCTGTCATTAAACTGATTGGAAGTAGTTTCAGAGCAGTCCTGGAGCATCATCTTACATATGACAGGTGCTAATGAAACCCATGCCAAACATACTCAGATTTTTGCTCAACGCTTTTAAAAAGACCTGAATTTTGTCGGCGTCTTCAGCAAGAAGGACAGTATAGTCTGTATAGTTCATGTCAACCAGGTTACCTCCAGGGAGTAGATCAATCCATATGAAGTCACAGGGACCTAAAGTTATGGCCATTAGTAGTTCTAAAACGAAGTTTAAGCAGATGACCAATGAGTTACGAGTCCGAACCCCGTTCCAATTATTGAAGTTTAAATAGTCAAGTACTATATGAAAAGATCTCACATACACACAATATAGATGTGATACATAGCCCAGTTCATAGAATTGCCAATGTTTATTCAATCATTCATGTGTAATGAACAGAAATTAAAAATCTATGAAATAAAATGTCAGTCCAAAAGCTCGCCTACACAAAACAAGACCATATCGGTCTCTGACGATTCCTTCATTAACATGAACCCATGGAATTAGGAAGCTGGATTCACTTCACCCATCCCAGCACACTAGGATGAATCCTGACAGCTAACAAAACAACCACGCTATGGATATCCGCACCACTTATCTTACGATTATGGATGCCGTTGATCATCGTTTTCGCTAAGTCAACTTGACGGTATATTTTTTGATATCAAACGGGGTCACAAGGAGACAAGAAACCTCTAACTATGATTCCAGGAAAACAAACCAAGCACCAATTAACTGCACTGCAGAGAACTTCTTCACGCTGATGCTCTGATACGCAACCATCGGAAGGATCAATATTGTAAAGAGTCGTAGTTACTCCCTCTAAAATCTCCATTAGTATACTAAGTAGTATAATTGCTTGTATTATACCATCGTGATTGGACCGAATCGATCGGTCTCTACTGGAATATGGATTCCCGTGTGGATACCTTGATATTACCTGTATTTTAATTATAGTAACGGTGGATAATGGCTGGCAGTGGGATCCAGGATGTGCATTTCGTCCTGTTTGGGACTCATCAGCTGGGAATACCTGCCTCCTAGTGAGTGATGTTTTTCCCAACGGGATGCCCATCCAGAATATCAATGCTAGCCACTATCCATCATTACTAACATAGTAAGTACTAACAATTAAATCTACACATCTCATTGAAGTTATATTCAGTTAACTTGACAATTTCACATAGTGACAATAAAAGAAAAACATCACACTCACCATCAGAATCATATTCTTCATCAATTTTATGCCCATCAGATGTAATTGAGTTGCCGGGACCAATTTTCAATTCAACATACTGTTTAACACAACATACAACCAATTGTAATACAATACTAATCATTTGTGATATATTATAACCGAGGAAATTTGAGAAGAATTTAGGATTTTCTACACATAAAGTTGTTAGGAGCTGAATCGAAGGAAAGGGATGGGAAGAAGGATAAAGAGGAAAATAGAAGACAATTGACAATTAACATACACATAACATAGAAATACAAAATTATGATCAACTGAAAATACTATCAGGTTTACAATATGTGTGTGTCATTGGTTTATACATGGCCAGAAATAATAAGCAACAAGGAACTCTGGCCTGCCAACGAACTAACCAAGAACCTATTGCCCAACAAATATGCAGTAGAAGGAAGTGGAGATGGACTGTATTGGGCATACACTGAGAAGACCGACTGTGGACATCACGCGACAAACCAGGCACTCGAGTGGAACCCGCATGGGAAACGACGAGTTGGGCGTCCCACCTGAGGGTGACATGGAGGAGATTGTGTGCGAGGAGGAAATGGGAGTTTGTGGGCTGTCATGGAGCCAGGTTTAAAAGACTTCAGAGAACAGAGCGCATTGGAGACGTGCTACTGAAGCCCTATGTTCCATTAGGAACTCAAGGGACAAATAATAATAATAATAATAGGTTTATACACCATAATTTCAACCGATTAGATGAAGACTTCAATACTGTTGTGCGAATTAAGATTTAGGAAGTTAGTCTTAACACGATAAGGGTGTATACTTAGTTGTGAACACTTTAAAAAAAACTCTTTAATAGTTGTGTGATTTTCCAATTTTCCGTTGCTATAAGAGGGTTGAACAGATGGGCTCCTAAGCGTATGCCTCAAAAATGTTTATTATTTATAATGTTGTATACATCTTGGTGAGATCAAGCATCTGTAAACAACAACTTATACCCTTTAGTGCATCTTATGCCTCGATGTTCTAATGGATGACGCTTTGGTGTTTTGAAGTGATGTGTACTGAGTTTAAGTGTCAATGGGGACAATAATCATCCGGCAGACAAGTCCAAATAGAACGAAACGCACATCCTCTATTTCATCACTAGTCACTAGACAAAGTTTTAAACTCAGGACTTCTTGATTGAAATTTGAGTGCTAAAGCCAATAAGCCACAGCTTCATATGAAGAACTATACCACTTCATTTTCTTATCTCGGATTTCAGGGCAGTTAGTAGCCATAACTCAACTCAATATAAAAAACCTACATTGTTCTCTAGTCTGAGAAGACGTTACAACCCTTTGAATCAATCGAATCATTTTACAGTAAAATCTGAAAAGATTAAGATTAGGATGAATTTAACATAAGGGAAGATGGCATGCAGAATGTGAGAAGAGGAGAAATAATGATATTAACAATAAGGGCAGGAGTAACTGTGACTCTCTCAACAACATGGGAATAGTCAGTGAGAATAAGTTTTGCATGGGGCAGTTAAGTGATACTCAAGTTTTTTGCTGATTTTTGAAAACGAGGATGTTTTTGTGCCTAGGATTATGGGTCGAATCTGGCTTCAAACAACGGTGAGCCTCCTCATGACTGTGCTCGATATCATCCAATACACCAGCAAATTGATTTAATGAAAGCTGAGGTCGACGAAATCCATATGCGAAATATCAGTGGTGCGGGTATCCTATCGGTGAACTAATCAGCATTGTGGGTATTTCTCGACCTGAAGGTGGCACTTGACTCCGTCTATCGAGAACTCTTATAGCAATGTCTCTCATTAAAAGAGGTGCCAAGAAAGTATGTTACCCTTACTGAAGGCTCTTTACTCGAACACATGAAGGCGTGTTAGAGCGTACGATAAAATCTCGGGTGAGTTGTGTGCGTCGAGTGATGTCCGTTAAGAGTGTCCACTCTCTCCATTCCTATTTAATTTTATCATAGACTATCTCATGAAGGTCCCCCTCTCCTCATCTGACTACACAGGGATAGACTTGATCACAGAAGAATTTTCGGTAGACCTTGAATACGCAGATAACTTAGTCCTGTTAGGTGAAGACGCTGAAAAGATGCAGTCTTCTAGACACCTTCAGCAACAATTTGAGAATGGTTGGAATGTGCTTCTAGCCACCTAAGTGAGAATTGTTGCCCCAGGACCGGTCTTCAACGAAACTGTGACTAACAATGCACAGTGAAGTGGTTGAGCGCGTTGAAGACCTCACTCACCTGAGAAATTGGATCAAAACTCACAGTTCAGCAGCCGACTTAATCTCTGCACGAATACAAAAGACCCCCTTGTCTTTTGCCAACTTACGACATCTGCGGTTCCAGCGCGATATCCGATTGCTCATTAAGGGTAGAGTGTACTTCTGCTCTGTTCCCCTGAATGGCTGTGAAACATGGTCATTAAAGGTAGAGGAGATTACAAGACTTCAGATGTTTGACTACAGTTGTCTTCGTAGCATGGGTTCATGGACCATGCCTCGTAGTGGAATGTCTTTTCCAGAATGTGAGCTGCACTTAGGTCCACAAGGTTATGGAGACTTCAGTAAGACGCATCTCACGCAAGTCTGCCTGCGAGTATGTAGGTATGGCCAACGATCTGATTACCCGGTGAATGTGGATGAGTTGAAGCCTGACATTTAGGAAGGTTCTGGGATAACACTCTTCAGTTTTGAATGTCCGTTAATAGAATGGCAGGAGTTTTCGTTTCATTTCAGTGGGCTGCTTGGATATTGCCTAATTGGTGAAGGAACCGATCCATCAAGTTTATATTGGAACGTCTACAGATGTGAAGTCCGGTCTAGAACTTAGAGCTGAGCCCTAAATGAAAGTCAAGGCCAAGATGACATACTGATTAAAAGATAAACAAAAGGGAATGCATAGCACAGTAGATTAAAGTCATTAAAATTTTGAAAATGATAAAACGTAGGTAATATTTATCTTGGTCACTAGTAGTGGAATCTAGGACGCGTTTTCGTCCTATTTGGGACTCGTGACATGGATGTGTCTTCCAACAGAGATGGAGTTATTCGGCCCTATATAGCAGCACAGGAGAAACTTAAAGGAAGTAGCCTCTTTCACCTATTTAGGAGGCACTGTTTCAACTATAGGGGCGACTGCGACACAGACGATGACATCAAAGCCAGCCAGGATCGGAAAGACAGCAAGACAGGCATTCATTAACCTGAAATCGGTGTGGAGATCTTCTGCACTCAGCATAAAGTGTGAACAATATCCGGATTTTTAACACCAGTTCAGTCATGTCATTGCTTCTATATGATGGTTCAGAAACTTGGCGCATAACGAAAGGCATTTCCAACAAACTACAGCCATTCATCAACAGCTGCCGCCTACGCTGGTTCGTTATTGAAGCTCAGATGACCAGAATAATGAGAATAAGCAACAAGGAACTCTGGCTGGCTGGCAACTAAGCGAGAATCTATTGCTCAGCAAATATGCACTGGGAGGAAGTGCAGATGAATAGGATTGGGAATACAGTGGCAGTGACCGATTGGGGACATCACGCACCAGTCACTCGAGTGGAAGCCGAAATGGGAAACGGCAAGTCTGGCGTTGAGGTGAGAGTGACATGAAGGAGATGGTGTGAGGAAGAAATGAGAGCTTGTGGACAGTGGTGAAGCCAGGTTGAAAAGATTGCAGAGAAGAGAGTGGACTAGATACGTACTACTGAAGCAGTATGTTCCACTAGGAACCCAAGGGACAAATAATAATAATATAGCGACAGAAGACTACAATTATTACATACAAACATATAGACAAGTTTAGGTTCAGTACATTGAATTCTGTTTTTAAAACATCTAAGCTACGAATATTAAACGAAATGACATACAATCAAGGAGAATGGTTCGGATTATTGTATCTCCGTTTCATAAATCATAAATTGCTGACTTCATGCTAACATCTATCTCCCTTTGAAATCCACACAAAAACATACACACCATAACATAAAACTACAAGGAAAGAATAGGAGAAAAAACAGCACACCAAGTTTCTCACCTGAACAAGTTCAGTTTTAAGTGATATTCCAGCTGTTCACTAGTCAAATCGTTGACTATTGTTCCCAATGATGGTCGTATATAACGATCAACAAATGTATTTAATATATCCTGTAAGAGAAGAATGATTTTATGTGGAAATGACAAAGATTAACTTGGATTGCAATAAGGGTTAAGCATAACAATAATAAAAGACTTGAGACCTAGTGTAAAATAACATTACTCAGTTAGGGGAGGCAAGTACATTCAGCTGATAAATCCGAAATAGGAAGAAACACATATCTTACATTCCAATGTGTGCCATTATGCATCATTAACCTGGAGACATCTGTAATGAAGCCCATAAGTCATTATTGGTTGAACAATTTTATCCAATCAAAAGTGGACAATTATTGATTATTTTACCTGACTACTAAAAAGGATGCTTCATGCCAAGTGGTTCACAATGGAAAGCTCAGTGATCACCTTTCAAGTGAAGAAAGTGGACAGGAGTAAGATAAGGTTGCCACCTACTATCACCCACCAGCTTCCACATTGAGGTCCACTCGACTTGACTAGACTGGATCACGCAACAAACTGTGAGGGGTATACGCTGGCTGGACCAAAGCACTTATAGAAAATGGATATCCGATGAAGTTTATAAACTGTTGTAGAGGACAAATAGCACCGTAGACAGTTCTATACACCGTTTCTAAGAAAAGCGTCCATATCACTCTATCATACAGAAGGGGGTTGAATAGTATCATTTTGAGACGTAGGCTGACATCAGCCATTAAGAAAATGTATTACGCGGTGAATCTTATCATCGTGGAGAAAACACAACACATGCTTCATCAAAAACCTAAACTCTGTATCAATGATAACGTCACATCTCATTGTGTTTATTAATTTACATGTGTGTGTGATCACACATACATAAGGAGGAGTAATCAAGCCATCCATTGGGGGTGATAGAACATGCACCTAATGGAGTGTGAAATAGTGATAAATGCTGATGGAAGACGACTCTCCTCATCTATAGCTAAACATATCATAGAAACAGATCACAAAGTTAATGTTCAAACAGATTCAGATAGAAATAGTCAGGGATATATAATGAGATTTACGGAAGCCATAGCCATATACGAATCAAAACCACCTTTATGTGTACAAAAACAGTTTGTTCTTACAATACACTAAACAATCTTGATAAACTTTTTCTTACCAAGATGAGGATCAACTATGTCGCTCTTCCTGTTTGTTCTCATCTTTCTGAATTTTAATCTCCCTATCGTGTTAATTGTTGTATTTGTTCTCCCATTCACTGCTGAGTTGAATATAAACAGACTTGAGACAAGTGAAAGTATGGGGGATCAGATTGTTCAAAATGTCTATTACGTAAATGCATCACATTGTTCAGAGTTATAGATAGTCAGATCAACCTATCAAATCTCTTTAAGTTTATTTAAGTAGTATAGGAAACGATAGGTTGTCTCATTGGTCCCCTTCAATCAAAATCAATCAATCAACACAGGACCAGGCATTACTGCGTAACGGTCCCACTTGCCACACCTCACGTCAGTTCATCAAGTAAAAAGGTAGTGAGGTGAAGGATGAAGATATGTGAATGCAGTCAAAAGAAATATAAAGTACGACAAGAAAGAAAGGAAGAATGAGAAAATGGTGAGGTTCGGTATAGTGTAGTTAAGATGAGGATAATGTGTGTGAGGATACATCTGCACCACTGACATCGGTTTTGAGCCATATCACCTAGGGTCTCCAATCACTGGTTCCTCTTGTCCCGACACCCCAACCACCTAGTCTGCATCGTCCCGCATGGCTCAAATGAACAGTCAGAGACTTCATACATTGGTGCCATGTTTTAGTCTGGCCACCTGTTTTCTGCCTTTCTCCAGCCTGGACCCACCTCAGCCAACATTGTGTGATGAGGCAATCGGTGACTAGGCATACGTAACACGTGTCCCAACCATCTCAGTCGATGAAGGTTCATAACCTCGTCAACTGACTTACCTCTTCTCCCTAAAACTCTACACCTGACTTCTGCATTACTCACATGGTGACACCACGGAATACGTCCTATATTACGAAGGCAACGGTGGTCAAACACCTGAAGCCTTTTTATATCTTCCACTTTCAATGGCCATGTTTCACAGCCATACAGTAGAACAGGGTGAACTGCTGTGCAGTACACGCGACCCTTAATAGACAAACGAATATCACGGCGGCGCCATAGGTGGCGCAAATTGGCAAAAGCCAATCGAGCCTTTTGTATCCGTGCAGAAATCTCATCGGCAACTAACCCACCAGGGTTGATCCTACTTCCCAGGTAAGTGAAGTGGTCAACACACTCAACCACTTCACTCTCTATTGTTAGCCGCGGTACCGCTGAAGACCAGTCCTGGAGCAAAAATTTGCATTTGGGTGGTGAAAATCGCATCCCAAACATTCTCAAATTTCCACTCAAAGTGTTCAGAAGACTCTGCATCTTGTCAGCGTCTTCACCTAACAGGACTATGTCATCATCTGCATATTCTAGATCTAAAGAAAATTCACCTGTGATTGGGTCAACGTCTGTGTAATTAGGTGACGAGAGGGAAACCTCCATAAGAATATCTATGATAAAATTAAATAAGAATGGGGATAGTGGGCATCCTTGACGGACACCACTTGATGAGTATAGCTCCCTGGACAACTCGCCATAGGCTCTAACATGCCCACAAGTGTTCGAGTAGAGAGCTTTCAATAAGGTGATGTACTTACTAGGCACGCCTTTCAGTGACAGACATTGCCATAAGACTTCTCGATCAACGGAGTCAAATGCCGCCTTCAGGTCGAGAAATACAGCTATTGTCGGGCGTCTGTAAGCATGCCTATGTTCCAGGACCTGGCGCAGAGTGGATATTTGGTCGATACACCCGCGGCAAGGTCTAAAGACTGCCTGGTTTCCTCGGGCTTGCTGTTCCCGAGCTCCACTCAGGCGTCGGAGAATTATAGAACCTAGGATTTTGGATACTATGTTCGTCAGGCTGATTCCTCTGTGGATATCACAAGAGGACTTCTCGCCTTTCTTGAAGAGTGGGATAATGAGTGACTTAGACCAGTCGGAGGGGATCGTATTTGATTCCCATATACTAGCTTGGTCCCCTTAAAATGATGCAAGTCATTAGTTGGAGAAATAATTCCAAATCTAATACAATAGTGCAGGTGTATGTTCATCCTTTATCATTTTTGAGAATTTTATTAACCTATACGTTACTTGCATATTATATTGGTTAATTTTAATATCATCCTGTTTCACAAATTAGGCTGTATTTCTGGACTTGAAGGCAGTGTTCGACTATGTCGATCGAGTAAGCACATTACTGTGTTGAAGGTTCTGCAGTCCAAAACTTGGGGACGTGTTACGGCCTATAATGAATTATCAGGTGAGCTATGTATGCTAAGAGTTGTCCATCAAGGAGGTTCATTCACTCTATTCTAATTCAATTTTGTCAAAAACATACCCTTGAGAAGGTAACTCACTCCTCTTCTGACTTCACAGAGATTAACCTTGTCACATGAAACTCCTTAGTAAACCAAAAGCACGCTGATGACGTAGTTCTGCTATGTAAGGGTGCTTGACGAAAAGCAATGCCTTCTGGACACCAGAGCTGCTAATTGAGAATGTCTGAGATGTGTTTCTCATCACCCTATAAATGCAAATTGTCGCTTCAGGATTGGTTTGCACTAGTGTCTCGTCTCACTATAGGGAATGAAGTAGTTGAGCGCGTTAACCACTTTACTCACCTAGAAAGTCAGATCAGTAGACTGGGTAGATCAGTGACCCATGAAATCTCCACACGGATACATCAGGCCTAATTGGTTTTCGCCGTAATATCGAAGTCCCTATTAAGAAGTCGACTGCACTGCGCTCCAGCTCACCAACTTATACTACATGACTATGAAAAGTGGTTAATAAAGTCGGAGAACATAAGAAAATTTCAGGTGTTTCACAACTACTGCGTTTGTAGCATAGGTGATCCTGTCGTGGTGTCACCACATCAGTAATGCAAAAGTCATATGTACAGCTTTAGGCATAAGAGGAACGTCAGTTGCATACCTCCATCGATTGAGGTGGCTGGGACATGTGTTACGTATACCTGGACACTATATTATCTGGAATATATTCAGGTTGGCAGTAGAAGGCTAGAGCTAGTCAGATTAAAAATGACATCAGGTTATAAACACTTTGACTTGTGATTTGAGTCATATGAAAATATGTAATCATAAAAATTTAGATAACAAAATGTCTAAGATATATCCAAATGTTATGTGCACGTGAATCATCATACCGAATTTTATTGATTTATTCCTTCGTTCTTCCTTCTCATGACAACTTTCAACTACTTTTGACTACTCTCTCCACTAGTTCTTCATTTCTTATCTTAGTATCTTCTACCTTGATATGATGTGGTCACTTAAACTCTTGTAAAATAACTCCGGTTCACACGTGGATGGTAACTGACTGGTAATTTAAATCAGAATATATGGAATAAGTAACGTTGTAACGGTTCCATACGACACGATACACAATGTAGTCAGTCGATAATTAATATCTGTTCCACAAGACGTGGACATAAAAGATCAGTAGGATAGTATGCACTCAGTACTAGTATCTTGTTTGTTCATTGTTTCTACAAGATGAGTTATGTTCAGAAATTCAACGATGAACTTGACTAGTCATGAGTGAACTGCAGCTGATTCTATAGGTGGATATGACCTAGTGTCTTTGATTCACAAATTCAGGATTAATCAAAGGTAGAATACACAGTTCACCGTTTACATGCAACTGAAGTTATCAGAATACATATCAATATGCTGAAACGGGATGTTTAGAACAAAAAGCTCCATGCTTTGACCTTCTACATGACTCGTCTGTTAACAAATGATCCATCAGTAGTGGACACCTATGATCTCGTCCTCCTAGGAATGAACTCAAGATCCTTATCTCACAAACTATATATATTACTACCAGCACTGAACAATATGGGTAGTTGGGAACAACTCATACTCATCTGTAGACTTCGCTAGTCATATCAAAGTGACTTCAAAACCAGAGTCAAGATCATCAACCACGCACTCAGAAAAATTCAACTCATATAGCTCCATTATTGAGTGAGTGGTTTCCAACTCGAACCCTATTAACACCATAGAGTTGTCCAGTTGAACAACTGCTCAGTTGCAGGGAAGGCGTGTCTGTAACCTGGATGGAACTGGTGTCCAGCGTGAGATTGGAACCCACATCACGTAGTGTTGAAGTCAACGACATTACTACTGAAGTATTCGGGCCGTGACTAACCTTCTGTAGAGCAGGACTAAACACATTGATTAGTCACTGAAGGGTAACCAACTTCATGTTATCTAATCCTAAGTGAGTGCTAACCGAGTCATATTGACCATTTTCCAGTGTGACCACTAGACTAGGCAGCTAGCTCAGCATCACGATGCACTTTGATAGATATTGGCTGAATGGATGAAATCGGCAGGTTGTTACATAACTCATAGTTTGTGTAATAGTGATTAGCAAGTGGAGAGAGTGAATAATCATATCAAGTGGCTAGTTGTTGATGGTAATTGTGTAAAGATAATTAGAGATAGGAAGGGGAGAATAAGCCGGGAAAAAACTGTAATAACAATAATGATATGAACAATACTGATAACAGCACCATTAGTTTATAAATGATTAATAAATTGCATGGTCTACCCTGGCATTAACCCACAAGTGAGCAGTTGTTCAACTGGACAACTCTGTGGTGTTAATAGGGTTCGAGTTGGAAACTACTCAGTCAATAATGGAGCTGTATGAGTTGAATTTTTCTGAGTGCGTGGTTAATGATCTTGACTCTAAACGAATAAGATGGTTAACTGGTTTTGAAGTCACTTTGATATAACTAACGAAGTCTACAGATGAGTATGGGTTGTTCCCAACTACCCATATTGTTCAATGCTAGTAGTAATATATATATATATATAGTTTGTGAGATAAGGATCTTGAGTTCATTCCTAAGAGGACGAGATCATAGGTGTCCACTGCTGATGAGTCTAATTCTAGAACGAAACAATTGCCCAATGATCCTTTATTGATGTTAACTCATGATCAATGCTAACTTGAAACTAATAAATAAAAAAATCCATACAAACCTACAAATTGACTCGTTTATAATAAACAAACAATTACAAGAAATAGTATTCACTCACCTCATTATGACACATTACAGCAATATTCAATAGATTATCCATTGTGATGATAGCTCGTCGACGTGTAGACTGATTATAACACTGTAAAAGTATAGTTGACAGAAAACTTCAATTACATCACACAGAACAGATTTTATTCTATTGGAGAATTTTCATTACTAACAACTACAAAATATACAATACTCAAGTATACGGTTTAACCTTAGGAGTTATTTGTTACATAAGTGTCTTCAAAATGGCTTCATTATTCAAGGGGATTTAAACATTTGAATGTGTATTGTACTCTCATGGATAACATCTTAATGCATGATAAAAAATATTTGTAACTCAAAGAGGTGTTGTGTTCTCAAAGATGAATGGTTCAATCGTGAAGCTTTCAGTGTCATTTTAGACAACATCAGTACAAAGTTAAGAAAGAGGTACCTTATCCAAATATCTTTGCGTATGATTGATTGTTCCTGTCAGAGTTTTATGATTATCTTTATATTTATTTCGATTGGTTGTCCTGCTGATGTCAACTTTGACCTTCTAATTGTTTCTTTTCGGTTGATAGATTAGGTTAGTGTCAATATACCTGTTAATTGCAGACTGATAGCAATGCCAAATTGTCTATCATTCATTTTTATTCCCTTTATCCAGGATATAGACGATCAAGATAACCTATTAAATAAGTCATGGACAGGTTCTTCATGTCAAGTAAAATAATCCGTTAGTTGATTTCCAAGGATGACGTCTTGGTTACGACAAGCTACGCGAATATCTTTTGATGAGTTATATGGATGGCGGTTTTTCTGGAAAACAGTAGTGAAATAGCTTAATTCTTTTCTCCATAAGGTTGATGTACTACGACAGTGTGCCTTTGCTCTCTTTAACAAATTTTAAAACAACTGATTTTTTGTTCCATTCAGGTGTCTGAATTGTAGTCGAGGATTTGATCTCCACGAGTTGGCTTTCTATATACTTCAATTTCAAAATTCCCTGAATCCCGACTAGTTATGAGACCATCTAAAAATGTAGATTTATCATTTGATTTCCCTTCAATTGTGGAGTTGATGTCGTCGAAAATGTTGCCCACTAGTTTGTACATGTACTGATAATGTTGTCTATAATGATACAATGAAAGGCTCACCATTAAACTATCTAGCTCAGAGAATACAATACCAGTAAAAGTGCTTTTCGATTACTCGTCCTTTGGGTTCCTAGTAGAACATAGAGCTTCACTAGCACGTCTTCACTTTACTCCGTTCTCTGCATTCTTTTGAACCTGGCTCCACCACTACCCATAACCTTTCATTTCTTCCTCACACCATCTCCTCCATGTCACCCTCGGCTCACACGCCCAACTCATCCTTTCGCATTTACCCTCAACTCAACGGCCTGGTCTAACCTGGCCTGAAACATCATATCCCCAAACCATCTTCTCAGACTACGTCCAATACAATACAATACAATCACATCCATCTCCACTCTCTCCTACTGCATATTTGTTGGCTGATAGGTTCTTGCTTCGTTGGTTGGTTCGTTCACAACCAGCCACAGTTCCTCCTTACTCATTCTTACTATTCTATTCTCACCATCTGATTTGATCTCATCTGATATGATCTTCAGTGTCAGTTTCAGTATCGAGTGAGTGAGTGAGTGAGTGAGTGAGTAGGTGTAGGTGTTGTAGGTGTGGCAGGTGTTGACGTGATGCATGTCTGTAGTATGCTTGAAATAATTTTCGCAACGAGCCAAGTCTCTCAACCATCACATAGAAGCACTAACTGACTTGACTGACATTGATGTTGAAAATCTGGATATTGTTCACGCTTTATGCTGAGTACAGTAGATCTCCACATTGATTATTTCAGATTAATGAAGTGAGGCGTGTCTTGCTGTCTTACCGATCTCGTCTTCCACATCATTATCTATGCCTGTACCGCCACCGCCTGTATTTGAGACGATGCTACCTAGGTGGGTAAGCAGGTAGGTGAAAGGGACTTCTTCCTTGAGATTTCTCCCGTTGATGGTGATTGGTGCTTGTTGTTGTTGGTTGGATATCTTTATCACCTCTGTCTTCTCTACGTTCACCTGAAGGAAGTCACGACTTCCTTCGCTGCATCGCCTCCTCTGTCAACTTGTTAGTTTTCGCCTGTAGATCTCCAAGTTTCTGCGGCATTAGATATAAATGCTCATCGGCGGCGAAATTCAAATCTTCTTCTAGGGTGATTTCATCGATCCATCCAGCTTATGCCCATCTTCTCGACCATTATAATAGTTATATCTATCTGTTACTGATGAAATTGAATGTATACAATGTTGAGAATTCCACTGGATGAAGTTTAGTCTACGTGATATCCCTCTCTTTTATCATATTACATTCGCTAATTTGATGTAATCGATAGTTATGGAGTATTATTTAAAAAGGAATAATCCACTCTCTGAAGTTCAAAGCAAATTTTATTGAATAATTTAACCAAGAACATTTGTATATTGAATGATACTACTTGTTTTCTATTCAACTTCATCAAGATTTTCGGCTTAATGCTTAACAACGGATCATTACTAAAATCTCTCACTATGTACATTATTCAACTACATGTCCAAGGATAAATTATTTGAATCAATCAGTTAAACAATTTTTTTTTCTTCCCAACTGTCTACTAATACATATATATATACATACAAATTGTTGTTTCAAGACTGAAGTCTCGGCTAGTAACAAAAACAAAGTGAAATGGTTGACTGGGTTGAACCCTTCATTTACCAGGAAAGTCGGATTAGCTTTGGTGGGTCAGCAATCGATGAAATCTCTGCATAGATACAAAAAGCTCGATTAGCTTTCGCCACCTTACGCTATGTGTGGTGCTACTGCGGTATCCGACTACCCATTAAGGGTGGAGTGTACTTTGTTGAAGTTCACACTTATTAAAGATAGAGGACATGAGAAGGCTTCTGATATTTGACCACCGTTGCCTTCGTAGCATAGGTGTGTGTCATGCTGTAACCACGTCAGTAATACAGAAGTCAGATGTAAAGTTTTAAGGAGAAGACGTCAGTTGACGACGTTGTGAAATCTCACCAACTGACATAGCTGGGACATGTGTTATGTATGCTTACCAACCATCTGACTCATTGAGCAGTGTTAGCTGAGGTAGGTTCAAGTTGAAGAAAGGCTCGCAGCTCCCAGACTGAGACACTGACCCGTCGCATGAAGTTCTTAACCATTGGTCTCGGCCGTGTAGAGGAACGCAGACTGGCCGGTTAGGGTCCATGTGACAACAGAAACAAATGGTTGGAAACTCTATGTGATATGCCTTAGAACTGATGTCAGTGGTGTAGATGTAGACACACATTATCCTCATCTTAACCGTTATACTTAATCTCATCATCTCACTCTCCCTTTTTCTCTTTTACTACTTTCTACTTCAACTTCTTCTGACCGATTTTCCTTTCATTCTTCACCTTCTATTTTATTCCCTTGTTAATTTGATGTGCTGAAGTAAGTTGAGGCAACCTGAAATGTTACACAATAATGCTTGGATGTATGTTGATATTAATGATGATGACGATGAGATACGGATTTTAAAACTGTAAATGAACTAGAGAATGTAAGCCCCCGCAGATATGCTCACGGTTTAGGTGACGACGTAGGAGATAGATGGATAAACAAGTACTGAGGACTGATGATAATCCATGGTAATTGTCTACATTGAATATTCCTATTTAGACATTTAGAAAACAAGACTAATTGAAAGAAGAAATGTATATTCCTTTTTAACTAAGTCTTCCTTTTGGGTTCTACATTGATAGATATAAGGATTTCCAATTCAATCAAAACATCAATCAAGTGGTGGAACCTGGTGTAATGCCTTGAATAACACGCAACAACTATTCGCTCAGATGACGCTATAAAGGAAGAGTTCGCCAGCATCTGTGATCTGCATAGAAGGAATGGTTATCTAGAGAAGTTTATGACTAAGCATATGAATGTTACAAGGGTTAAGACAAGAACGCCAGCAGTTCCCAAGAAGCCAATGAGATCATCACGTAACGCATAAAAAGATTCTTTCAGAAAGCATTCCAACTAGCTGAATTATGTCGCATGTTCAACTGTGCAATTCTAAGTACAAGAAATGAAGACAAACTGCCTGATTATGCCACTCCTATGTGCATTTATCAATTCAACTGCTCCTTAGGAGCTAGTTACGTTGGGTGTACAATGAGGCAGTTCCATCGTCGAGATTCTGAGCACCACCCATCATGGTTGAGTAAGGGACAAATTAGAACAATAAAGAGCTTCATACTTGTACACTTAGTTGACAGACGACATCGGGCAGATGCTAGAAAACTTTTCAGAATTATTCATCATAGTCGAATTAATTTACCACCACATGGATTGAGCATTCGCTTACTTCGCATAGTACAGGCGATTGCAATCCACCTTTACAAACACATCTAACCTTTGTATTCAAAAGAAGTTTGTTCGACCACTTCCAGTACCATGGCTGTCAATATGATGTAACTCCTAGTATTACTTCGTACACGTCTTCCCCCTTCTTCCTGTTTCTATCAATATTCATTTGTTTCCTCATTATTACGCAATCACCTGTTGTTTATGACTGAACATTCGTGAAAAATCACTTCATTTACCTAAGAATAACCTGCTTCTTGGTTAGGGTTATGTTCTCTGAGCTGTGTTGTTTAATCGTGGAGACGCTTTCATCATCTTTCTAGACACCGACATCATCAGAATTAACTTCAGTATGAAGTGAGCTGTCAATATCTCTCCCTGACTGAGTGGTTTAGTAGGTGCCTACCTTGGCAAAGTGGTTTGTGTGTGATTGGTTGTTTCCTTTGATTGTTGTGTCATTGACTGACTGCACAGATTTTCCTGTTGGTTGTTCCTTCGCTTCACCTCTGACCTTCCTCTCGTTTATCATCTTTCTAATTGGTTGGTAGATTGGGTCTATGTCTATACATCTGCTGAGTGCTGATTGACTGACCTGAATGCCAAGCTTTTAGGAATTCTCTGATATTTTTTGTGTTTCCTCTGTCCAAAATTTCTACATTGTCGAAATTGAATTCATGACCATGGAAACAAAAAAAATGTCACAGAATTCCTAAAAGCTTGGCATTCAGGTCAGTTAGTCAGCTTATCAATAGAAGCAGAGATATAGACTCAATCTATCAACCAATTAAAAAGATGATAAACGGGAGGAAGGTCAGAGGTGAAGCGAAGGAACAACCAACAGGAAAATCTGTGCAGTCAGTCAATGACACAACAATCAAAGGAAACAACCAATCACACACAAACCACTTTGCCAAGGTAGGCACCTACTAAATCACTCAGTCAGGGAGAGATATTGACAGCTCACTTCATACTGAAGTTAGTTCCGATGATGTCGCTGTCTAGAAAGATGATGAAAGCGTCTCCACGATTAAACAACACAGCTCAGAGGACATAATTCAACCAAGACTATCCACCTGAGCTACAAATATTCTCTACTATTTCAGTAACCTGCTTCATATTTCCAATTTTAGTAACTCTATTGATTATTTACATCCTTATTTCTAAACCTTCATGACTTACTTCAAATGTCTATGGTTATTGTTTACCAACCCTCTCCATCACTTGATTGGTAATTTGATTGAATTGTACAACAAGACGAAGATGAAGATGTAATTGAAAAGGAGTATACATTACTTCGCTCAATTAGTCTATTTTCGAAGTGTCTATATGTTTAAATGACTTATCGGTTAGTCTTCTACACAGAATCAATGAGTCTGTGATCATTTATTCACAGTTGAAATTATTAACAACTTATAGAACCAGTCACTTTGTTGATCACTTTCCAAAATTATCTGGTTTTCTGGAAAATGCAGTAGTTTTGTGGAAAAACCGACAACCGTAAACATTCGATTGAAAAAAAACGCTTTCTGCTTATTTCTCAATCTGAACAAGTGACTGAATTGTCTTTGAAATAAAAATAACCTTAAAATTCTCGTAGAGACATCCATAAGTAAAAGGTTTTCTATTTAATCCCTTTTAGCACTGGAGTTGAAGACACATCTGTTTTGCATGGAACTTTTTAACCGGATATACCTTCAGTTACAGTGAATTATAATGTTTCCAGTAATATTGAACCCCCCGCCCCAGTGCAGTAGGCAACGAGCTACACTGATTGTGTAAGAGCTACCGGTTTGTTTCAACTTCAAAGGGTGAAGCTAGTTTCGAACCTGTGACTTACAGGTGCAAATCAAGCGCCTAGGTCAATGAACTACAGCTGTTTCAACTAAAATCCAACAGCTAAACGGCTTAAAATAAACGTTTAACTATAGACGCTGAAGCTGAAAATATATACTGTACGCACAAATACAGATAAGTTAGTAGACCGTGTATATGAATTTGTATATTAGGTTCAAAAAATCAAGGTGAACAAGTGTGAAACCTCAATTCATCTATGACAAAAAATTTAACAACAGCCAATCCTAATCTAAAGCTGTTCTGTTTGACCTTGAAAGTTCGACATAAACAGCCAATAAAAAGCTGGGTACACTGAAATCCATAGTCTTCTAAAATAACTGTTATGTCGTCAACATAATTCTGATGTTCGCTGGCATAACTGAATCAATTTGAGCAGTTTACTGAAAGAATAATCCTGCATAGATAAGGAATATTATGAAAATATAATTTCTACTGTTATTGATTAGCTCCTAAGATGGATCAGTTGGAACCTATCGTTAAGAATGAATCAAATTTCATTGTCAGGGGCCTTCTAACCGACTAGAAAAGGCTGGCTTCAGAAAGAACAAATCATGCTCAGATCGAATTGCAACGCTACGCTATGCATCATCACATAAACAGAGTATAGAATGGCAGTCAACTCAACTTCATCGAATTTCAAAAGGCGTTCGACAGTGTCGACCGAAAAACAGTTTCGCAGGCAGCTGCTTCAACACTACGGCTTTTGTGCCACAAAACTTTATCAACCTCATTCAACAGCTATAAGCTATACCATGCTATATGCCATATGATTCACAATGGAAAGCTCAGTGATGCTTCTGAAGTGAAGAAAGGGGACAGGAGTAAGACAAGACTGCCTACTATAACCCATCATTTTCCTCGCTGTGGTCGACTTGAATTGATTCGACTGGAGTATACAACAAACTGTGAGGAGCGAGATGACCATACGCTGGATGAACCGATGAAAACGCCCAAGAAGATTTGGATTTCGCTGCCGATGAGCATTTATGTCTGATGTCTAGTGTCGCACAAACTCGAAGATCTACAGACGAAAACCAACGACTTGATAGAAGATGCGAGGTGAGGCGAGGCAGCAAAGGAAGATGCGACTTCTTTCAGGTGAACGTAGAGAAGACAGAGGTGATAAAGATATCCAACTAACAACAACAAGCACCAATCACCATCAACGGGAGAAATCTCAAGGAAGAAGTCCCTTTCACCTACCTACTTACCCACCTAGGTAGCATTGTCTCAAATACGGGCGGTTGCGGTACAGGTGTAGATAAGGATGTTGAAGACAGTATCGGAAAGACAGCAAGATAGGCCTCACTTCATTAATCTGAAATAATCAGTGTGGAGATCTACTGCACTCCAATGCACTGTACTCAGCATAAAGCGTGAACAATATCCAGATTTTCAACACCAATAATGTCAGTCAAGTCAGTTGGTGCTTCTATGTGATGGTTGAGAGACTTGGCGCGTTGCGAAAAGTATTTCAAACATACTACACACATGCATCACGTCAACAGCTGCCACACGTACAACACCTACACTTACTCACTCACTCATTCACTCACTCGATACTGAAACTGACACTGAAGATCATATCAGATGAGATCAAATCAGATGGTGAGAATAGAATAGTAAGAATGAGTAAGGAGGAACTGTGGCTGGTTGGGAAGGAACCAACCAACGAAGCAAGAACCTATCAGCCAACAAATATGCAGTAGGAGAGAGTGGAGATGGATGTGATTGTATTGTATTGTAGTGTATTATATTGGACGTAGACTGAGAAGACGGTTTGGGGATATGATGTGTCAGGCCATGCCAGGTCAGGCCGTTGAGTTGAGGTGAAATGGGAAAGGACGAATTGGGCGTGTGAGCCGAGGGTGACATGGAGGAGATGGTGTGAGGAAGAAATGAAAGGTTATGGGTAGTGGTGTAGTCAGGTTAAAAAGACTGTAGAGAAGAGTGAAACGGCGACGCGCTACTGAAGCCCTATGTTTCTATAGGATTTCAAACGACAAATAAGAATAATAATAATAACTTGAACAAAACAAAACTCTAAAGAGAATCAGGTAAAGAACACAAAAAAGTAGTCAACAAAACACACTTTCACCATTAACAACTACCTCTTTTCCTGAATAGATTCGTAACAGTTCAGGCATTATGTAGGGACCTATTATAGGCAGATCAAGATCAGATAGATCAGAACTGATTTCTGTAATCAAGAAAACAGAGAAAATGTAAGCTATGCATGTGGAATAAATACTTCGAAAATTTAATCAAAATAAAGTTGATGTTCATCTTTTAATCATGAATGTTTCATGAGACAGATAAATAGATGCATCATCTCAAGTTGTCACACTTCATTGTAGTACACAAACAACATGTAGGAGAGAAAAATGACTCATATTGGTGCAGAGATATTTCCCGGCCGTCAGGATGATATGACTTCTCAGGTGAGTGAAGTAGTCAACGCACTCACACAGGGGTTGACATTAACCACTTTTCGAACACCAACTGCATAAGACATCTCGAATGATGGAGTCGAATGTTGTCTTAAAGTCGACAAATACAGCTAGTGTTATGTCCCAATCAGTGTGCTTGTTTTCCAATAGCTGGAGGAGACTGACTGATTGGCAGAAGAAACGTATAACCACAAACACAGATGCATCGGTTCGACTTGCCACACTTCACAGTAGCAAACAAAGAACAGGTGGATATGGAAGTAGACAAAGTTGTATGAGAGAATCAATAATCTGAAGTTAACAGGTGTAACTACTCATACCATATTGCCTGGAGCTGTGATTAGATTGTTTTAGATACTTGAATCTCAACTGATAAGTCATAGATTCAAACCCAGCTCTCCTACCAAGGTCTCGGTAGCCAGGTAGTATCATTAGCTATCATAATAGGTGTAACTCATTGCCTAATACACAAACGTGTACAAGGTTACTGAGTAGGCTTGATTCATTTCCCGCCTTTTAATAACATTTAGGGTATATAGATCACACTTCATGAACACCTGCTTTAGAGGTTACATTATTCACTACTGTATATGAATGTCATAACTTCTTCAGTAAGCTTTAGTTATCGCATCACTAGAGTAATTTATACCTGTGAAACATGCATCGTAACTATTGTCTCATTGGTATTGACGTCATAGAAGTTTCAGTGGAAAAATGTTGTTGATCATACCTTTTGTGTGTGTGTCCAGTGCAAACCGCTGATTTCTTGATTGAAGGTACACTGTCGGTAGGAAACAAGCTAAAACTTATCAATTTTTGTGTTCATACTTGATGCTGGTGCATTTCACCTGATTTCTTTTAACTGTACATAAGCTAAATAGTATCATTCATTCAATCAATCAGTCAGTTAGCTACCGTTGGTACTATTATGCAAGAGTCCGCGTTTCCATACTTCATCATATTTCATCACATCAAGGTAGAAGGTATCTAAATGAGAGGTAGAGAAATAAGGGAGAAAGTGGTCAAAGTGGTAGTTAGTTTTGTGTTGGTAGGATGGATTAAGATCGACTGTCAAAGGATTTCATTAACTGATGTTATTTCTTATTCTCCTGGCCTTTGACATTTTTCCAGTCTAAACCTACTTCAGCTGACATTGTGTGATGCAATAGTGATGATAATTGAGGTCTTTTCATGTCCTCTGCCCATGTTTCGCAGTCATATGGTGGGAGAGAGCGAAAGACAACACAGTATACTCGAGCCTTTATAGGCAATGATGTGTACCACATCGGGGACATAAGTGGTGTAAGTCGGCGAAAACCAAGCTAGCTATTTGTATCGGTGCAGAAATTTTGTCGGTTGTCAGGTTGATATAACTTCTCAGGTGAGTGAAGTAGTCAACGCACTCAGACAAGCAGTTGACATTAACCACTTTTCGAACACCAACTGCATAAGACATCTCGAATGATGGAGTCGAATGTTGTCTTAAAGTCGACAAATACAGCTAGTGTTATGTCCCAATCAGTGTGCTTGTGTTCCAATAGCTGAAGGAGACTGACTGATTGACAGAAGAAACGTATAACCACAAACACAGATGCATCGGTTCAACTTGCCACACTTCACAGTAGCAAACAAAGAACAGGTGGATAGAAAATGAATGATATGGAAGTAGACAAAGTTGTATGAGAGAATCAACAATCTGAAGTTAACAACCATTGCGAATATTCAAGGTTTAGAAAGAGTCAAGGAGTGAATATATCTACGACACTGAGACCGATTTCCAGCCATGTCACTCAGTGTCTCCAACCACTGATTCCTATCTTCTCGGAGACTCTATTCAGGTAGTGTAATTCCCTCACACAACTCAGACCAATAGTCAGGGATTTCATCAACCGGTACCAAGTCTTAGTCTCGTCACCCTAAACCCTAGTCTAAGCTAATCCAGCTTCTTTAGTACGGTACATTGGGGTAGATGATGGATCGGAATGCCTAGTACACGTCCAAGCCATATTAGTCGACTAAGGTTCACAACCTCATGAATCGACTTGTCTGTCTTTCCTCCTACCCTTCTACATGACCTCAACATTGATCAGACGGTGAATCTATCAAACCCGAGCAATGTAACGAAGACATGTATGATCAAAACCCTGTAACCACTTCAGGATATATATTTTTAAAGGCTACGTTTTAAACCCGTGTAACAAAACAGAACGGACTGTAGCGCACTATACTCGTACTTTAACAGGTAGTCGGATATTTTACTGGCTCCGCAGACGATGCCAGCTGGCAGATATGAAACGAGCCTTTTGCATTATCCAAGTATCCCGGTTATTAGAAGAGAGTAGCTTGGTTAAGTGCGTTGAACACTTCATTTACCTGAGAAGTCGGACCAGACCTCGTGGTTCAATGGCCAACGAAATCTCTGTAAAAATACAAAAATCACCCTGAGCTTTTGTCAATTTACGACATCTATGGCCGTAACGCGATATCCGATTGTCTACTAAGGATCAAGTGAACAGCGCTACAGTCCGCATTTGTTCTATTGCATGGCTGTGAAACATGCTCACTAAAGGTAGAAGACATTGGAAGGTTTCTGATGTTTGACCAACATCGCCTTCTTAGTATAGGCTGTTTCGTGGTGTTACCACATAAATAAAACAGAAGTCAGCTGTAGAGTTTTAGGGAGGAAAAAAAAGTCAGTTGACGAGACTGGGAGTCTTCACCGGCTGAGATGTTCAAGAAATGTGTTACACATGCATAGCCAACCATCTGCCTCGTCGGACAATGTAAGCTGAACTAGTTTCAAGCTGGAAAAAGACTCTCAGAGGTCACATTTAAACATAGCATCAATGCATGAAGTCCTTGATTGTTCGTTTGAGCCATGCAGCGCGATGCAGACAACCCGGTTTGGGTCCATGTCATGAAAGAAACAAATGGTTGGAGACTGTAGGTGAAATGGCTGAAAATCGATGTCAGTGGCACAGATGTAGATACACATTATCCTAATCTTAACGACGTTATACCGAATCTCACCATTTTGTCATTCTTCCTTTCTTTCTTTTAGTACTTCATATTTCTTTTGTTCATCTTCCACTTACTGCCTTGTTTACTTGATGCGCTGCTATGAGTTGTGTGGCATCTCGGATCGTTAGGTAGTAATGCTTGTGCCTATGTTGATCTTGATGATGATCAAAGGTCAGACCTTAACAAAAATCAGCTCGTTCGGTGTGATACTACCTCCTAAGTAAATAAAGTGGTCGACATATTCAACCATTTCACTCTACATCACCAAACTGGGAGTGGTTTCAGATCAGTCCTCAAGCATTATCTTACATTTGACAGATACAAGCAAAATGTATGCCAAACATACGCAGATTTCTGTTCAACACTTCCAGAGGATGCAAGAATGCAATTCTATACTGAATTATTTAATTTTGATATGGTACACATTGGATATATATTACGATTTACTGGATGATGAACGTGCCGAACACAAGCTATTCCTGACTCATAACTTCTAATGTTATTTCGCGAATAATTTTATTGGTTGTAGACTTTTCTATACATGTAGGAATGAATGTTGAATTATTCCTGTTGCATATGTTGGACATCGATTTAATGAACAAAGACTCAGTGATAAACCTCCCCCACCTTCCATGTGACTACATTATTCCTTGACCATTACTCTGACCAATGAAAACAAACTTATTCCCCGCCGGAATCGGAGAGGCGAAATGACGCCAGTTGGTGAAAGCCTGCTTCAGGGAAGCCAATTGGCCGATGTGTCTTCTCTCGATGAAAGCGAAAGTAAACGTGGGGACATGGAATGTCCGCACGATGTTTGAACCCAGTAAGGCAGCCCAGATTGCAAGGGAGATGAGAAGGTATAACATCGAAGTGCTTGGGATTTGCGAAAGCAGATGGAATGGGAGTGGACTCTCCAAACTGTCAACTGGTGAATCAATAATCTACTCCGGTCACCCAGACGACAACCACGAGCACACTGAGGGAGTGGCTATCATGATGTCCCCAAGAGCATCGAAGGCTCTCATGCAGTGGGAACCAATCTCCTCCAGGATCATGACAGCAAGATTCAACTCAAAAGGAAGAAAGGTCACAATCATACAATGTTATGCACCTACAAATAATGCAGAGCAAGAGAAAAAGGAGGATTTCTACAGACAACTTCAATCAACACTGGACAAGACGTCAGTTGGCGATATCAAAATTCTGATGGGCGACATGAATGCCAAACTGGGAGGGGACAACACAGGAAGAGAACTAACCATGGGTCGAAAAGCACTCCGTGAGATGAAGGAGAATGGAGAATTGTTTGCAGAATTCTGTACATTCAACGATTTGGTGATTGGAGTCAAGCACTGTGCTCAAGCACAAGGATATCCACAAAGCGACATGGATTTCAACAAACACCAGGACACACTAAAAATCAAATCGACTTTATCTCAATCTCAAGAAAATGGAGACGCAGTCTACTTAACACAAGGTCAAGAAGAGGAGCAGATGTAGGTTCAGACCACTCCATCTAGTGCAAGGAACCTTCCAAATCAAGTTAAAAGCCTTCAAGGAAGCTGGTGATAGACCTCAACTCAAGTACAACACTCGGAAACTGAAGGATGAAACTACAAAGGAGATCTTCAAGGCAGCCATCAAGACAAAATGGGAGACATCGAGCAACATCCCTGAAGAAACCTGTGTGGAAGAACACTGGAAGTCTTTGAAAGCTATGTGGAAA